ATAATATTTATTACAACTCACGCTGACCTCCTGTCTGTCCATTAAAGTGAAGCAGAAGAAGTGACCAAAGCAAAGTGTATTATTGCAGCAGCACATTTTATGTGATCAGCTGTCAAAAGCTATTCCTATGAATTTGAAGCTAGATCTCGGGTCACACGGTGTGTTTCTTTCCTGTGATGTCGACGGTTTTCTGCTGTGTTTTTTAGGCAGCATGAATCCTGTGTGTGTAATGCAGTTAGACGATCCTCCACAGAGGCTGAACACCCCCGTGTTGAAGAACACAGCCAATCCTGCCTGGGACCAGCCGTTCATCTTGTAAGATTTACTCATTCAGTCGCTGTTTTCTTTTTGTATCTTTTTTGTTTTTCTGTGCAGTCCACCAACACCACGTAATGCATTTTCTTTCTTTCCCTGATTATTCTTTTATTTTTTTCTCTCTCACCAGTGAATTGAACGGACGATCAAAAGAGCTCAATATTCAGTTAATGAATGATGGACAACCTCAAGAGAGTAAGGAAACAAATAATACCGGCTGCCTTTTGTTATTTGTGGCGAAGAGTTCTTTTGTTCACATGTATTTGTACTGCCAGACTAAAGTAGGCGTGTTCCTCTCTTCCAGGTTCACTGCTCGGTCAGGTGTCAGTGCCTTTTGATCTTGTAAAGAAGCAGCCCAAAGGACAGCAAACGTTTGCACTCATGACCAAAGACGTAGTGACTGGATCACTAACTACTGATGTAAGATCTCATCCCAGTTAACATCGGGATATAGTGACACATGTTTGCCTTAATATCAACATTATCTGAGGTTTTCCCTTTGCACAACATTAACTGTGTGGGGGGGGATTGTATCCTTCAGTTTACCTATCTGGAGCCCAGTGAGGTGAGGTCCTGGCACCCTCCCACTCCAGCCTCCAATAAGAGGGTGGAGATGGACCGTACAGTCATGCCCTGTGGCACGGTGGTCACCACCATCACCGCGGTGAAGAGCAAGCCGGGTCGACTCCCCCCTCTCAGACTCAACATAGGTACGGCACCACAGACTGGGAGACCACACAGCACTGACAAAGATGATATACATATCAAGATACAGTACAGGAAGACTCATTGAGGTTTACGTGTTGATGCTGAGATAATGCTCTGATAATTATCTTCATATTGACTTAATCCATCATAGTATTTGTATGACGCCCTCAGAGGCAAGTGAGATTTATTTTTCTTGTGATCCATTTTCTAAATCTGAACGGAATAGTTTTCCTCTCCTGTGTTTATGACAAAAGAACGGGTGAAACAGGTTTTGCCGTGATCATCTTTCTGGGGAGAAAAAGTTTTCCCAGATGGAAAGATCATTTTTCAAAGTCTTTGTTGTTGTAGTACTCATTTCTGCCACAAGAGGCTAAAGTGTACCACTACCCCGTGTTCTTTTACCTCACTTTAGATCACAAGAATTCACAAGAATTTTTTTTCATCACTTCCCTCTCAGGGCTTCCTACGAATCCCTGCAAATTTCATCACCATTTTTCACAAAAAATGTTAAGTTCTGCATTAAACACATATAACCTCTGAAAGAACCTGCCACAACGTATTAACCACAAGCTAGCAGAGTTGCTCTATGGGTGCCAATGTACAAATTATACCTGCTAAACATTTGCTTCTTAGCATTTAGCCCAAGTGCAGCCTCTCAGAGCAACTAGCGGGAGTCTTGTTATCCCAAAGTCAGCTGTAGTTGGGACCAAACACCTTGGAAAACAAAGCAATGCAAAAGCAAGATAGAGTAATTCAAAGTGTCTGTATGACATATCTAAAACTTTATTATACTTGCAGCTCAAATACTAAATATGTCTGCAGATAAAAACACATGAAATTTAACTTTGACATCATTTATGTTTTGACCTTCCATCCATGAAGCAGTCCATTAAACTAACTTTGTGCTGACTCAGATCCGGCCCAGAAAGCGGTGGCCGTCAAGTCTAAGCTGTCGGAGCAGGCGTCTATGATGGGGGCCACAGTCAGCAAGGCCTTGTCCTCCTCCGATACCGAGCTGCTGATGCTCAATGGCACCGACCCGGTGGCCGAGGCCGCCATCAGGCAGCTCCACCAGTCCGCCAAGCAGAAGCTCAAGTCCCCGGTGAAGAAGAGTACAATCATCATCTCTGGCATCGCCAAAGTAAGAATGAGTTCCAGCACCAGAGGAGCTCTTCATTGGTGCATTGTACTGTTTCATTTATTACAGATACAGGGTAACATAGAGCAGAGGACTGGCTCAGGAAATCAGTTTCACCAACACTTGTTTAGCTGTTGTGTTCCCAATCAATGGATCATGACGGAGGAAATAAACCAATCTGAACCCTCAAAGACCGAGGACCATAATCCTATCCATATAGGATAGGATTATGGTTTCTACATTTTTTCAGTGCTATCACATATTTTCTAGTTTGGGCATTCAGAGGCTCCGTAGTGAAGGTGGTTACGCCATCACGTTCTGCAGCATTGATTCGTCATGGAATCCCATGTAGTTCTTTGTTCTTTGTCCCGTTTTGTTCAAAGTTTGTCCATATCTACTCCACCAATCAGCATCGGTTTTGGTCTTTCGTTTTATTTTCAAACGAGTCAAGAGGTGATGTTGCGTTGGACTACAGCCAGAGGATTGATCCGTTGTTCATTTAATAATACATTTCTCTGTGGAAAAAAAGACACGTTTGCTTCAATGTCCTCCGTTATGATATAATAACCTTTGAAATGAACCCCTGAACTTATTTGAACACATCTACATGATCAGTAAATGATAAATAGGAATACACCTTGTTAGCTGTAGACCGAAAATCATTTGTAAGCCATATATTTAAAAATGTCCTGAGATTCTGTTTCAGCTCACGGTACATATTTTGTCCATTATCAGACAAAGAAATTTATACTTTAAGTCCATTACTTTGGACTTAAAATGAACCAGACTGAAAGCTGAGGTTCTCTTGATTCCAATGATGCGTGGCACTTAATGCTGACGCTGGTTAAAATTGGTTAGAAAACAAGATAAATACAGGAGAGTCAGGCGGCCAAAAATAGTTTACGGTCTTTGAGGGTTAAATGAAACATTGTGTCAACTCGTGTTGTTGAAGTACACTTCATGTGCCAACGATTAAATCTCGGCCTTCCAGTGGAATAATAATATGCCTCATCCCACGGCCATCCTTCTGCCCAAAATTACATTAGAAGACAAGTGAGCACTGGTCCTCAGAGATGCCGATGTAAATAGTTGGTCACTCATGATGCCAGAGGAAGAATTAGCATGATCACATGCAAATGTTAAACCAAAGGAAATCTCGCCTCACCAAAAAGTGATTTTAAAAGTTTCAATCCGCTCAATTTCCCAGACGCCCTTGTCTCAGGATGACGAGCTCGCTCTGATGGCGGGCTACGCTGCAGCGATGGACGCCTCCATGTCAGAGGCCAGCTCCACTCAGGACGTGACCGCAGCGATCGCGACAGGATCCAGCAGCCCTCCAGACACGTCCGAGCCCCAGGAGGGCCCCAGTGGAATAGGCCGGCCTCCGGAGGACTGGGAGAGCCAGACCGGAGAGGGGCTGGACAATAGCTCGCTGTCTATGTGCGTGTCCGAGGCAAGCTGCAAGAAGAGAAGAGGTGAGAGGTCACAGAGGGAAGCCACGAGTGACCGTAGACATGGGGGCATAGCTGGTCTTTATAGGCATGTTATTCCATGAAATATATCACTCTGATGGCAGAACTTGATAAATGTCCACGTGGTTGTTTTCACGGCTAACCGTTGCTCCTCGGTGATGCATGTTTTTTTTGTGTTCTTTTCTCTCTTTCCTTCCGACTGTTTCTTCTTTTTTCTTTGACCTATCGTCACTGCCGTCTTAGAGGAAGGCAGTGCTGAGCACACGTTATGTCCAGATGAGTAAGTTCTTTCATGAGCTACTTGTAGTACCCATGGTGCTCTAGTATGTGTAGTATCCGCTGCAGTAGAGTAGATAACCTAGTTTTTCTGCAATGTCAAATTCATTTTCACTTCATGCAAAATCAATGGGATCAAAGCAGATCATATAGTTGCTTTTAGAGATTTAGAATACGTGTTGTGGGGCTGAACAATATGCACAACGGCCTGTGAATATTTTGAATTAACATTCGTGCTAAACTTTCACAAATTACCTTTTTTTGTTTTTTTACTGAAACGTTTTTAGTATTTTTCAATTATCAGTGACTTCAAAAATGAAAAACGAAAAGTCAAAATGCTGCCTGTTGCATAAATACAATTGGTGGCTTAGGCCAGCTGACTTTTTTTATTTCTCAAAAACTTTCCAATTTCTAAAAAATTGTAGCCCACCGGAGCTACAGATGGCAAAGACCACTCTCACTATTCCAGTCTGAAATGACATTATAAATGTGGATATTAGAATGCTGATAGTGCAGAGTAAAATACCACACACATAATGGAGAACAAACATATTCAATACAATACAAGTTATTCACTATATAAGATATTGTTCAGCCTGTAGCTGTAGGAATCTATTCTGTGTGGAGGATAAGGATGTTACTTTCTTCATTTGAAATGAATTAGTTGTTTATATTGTTTTGTATTCATTTAATCTAATCGCCAGAAATTAGAAAATCCCAGAAACCTCTTGTGTGCTGAAAGGAAGGAATGATGCTTGCAGTGAGGTTGGACCGCTCTTTGTATGGTACAGTTCAGTGTGTGTTAGCTGCTCGTCTCCAGAGGAAAAACTAGATGTAGAAGGAGGAATAACCAGAAATGTTTTACTCCAACCTGTCCCATCCATGCCAGACGTTCTCACCATCAATAATCACAAATTGCTTCGGCTGTCTTCAAATCGCTGCCACTTGAATATTGTCCATGCCCAAAGTTTGATTCTGTGTCGAGTGGTGTCGTCTTGACATGGTCCTTGTCTCAAGGTATCCCAGTTTATATTCCTTGTCCTCCCCGCTACAGGCAGCTTCCTCCAGAAGAGCGCCAAGCTCTTCTTCCGGCGGCGTCACCAGCGCAAGGACCCAGGGATGAGCCAGTCCCACAACGACCTGGTGTACCTGGAGTCTCCGGCCGCAGTGGAGCAGGCCAGCCGAACAGCCACGCTCAGCCGCATGCTCAGCCGCAGGAGTAAGAACAAGAGCAAAGCCAACGGCGCTACCTCCATGGGGGAGCCACGTGCGTGACCCCCTCAGTCCCTCCAACAAACAACTACTACCATCACCACCTCCACCTCAATCTTGCACTGGCATTACTCCCCCTAACGCCCAGCCTGCAGCCGGCTCCTGCATTGTGAATGGGGAAAGCTGTACAGATGGAAAAAAAAAAATATATATATATATATATCCTCTTAAACTGCCGTTTCCTGCTTCCTTTAAGAGGCAGATATTCCACCAAAAGCAAGCGTGTGCATGTGTGAATGAAGGTCTCCTGTCTTGGATTAAGGGTATTTCAGAGGATATTGTTTTTGCTTGTTTCTTTTATCTACTTTTATGCAACGTTTTTGAAATCTTTTAAGCGCTTTTGTGGCCTTTTCACCGACAGAAGGGGCAGATGTGTGCTGTCACTCTTTACCTCACTGACACTGGGGGCGCAGAGTAAACTCTCCCTGCTGTAATCCGTACGTTTCCTACGGTGGACCAACGGGACCGAAGATATCGGAAGAGTGGTGTTTGTATGATTTGCACAATTCTAGTATCTTTATTTAAAGTGCAATGAGGGGAGCTGCTCTTGGATCACATTCACAAAGGGAGATGATCTTTTCACTGTGGGAGATAGTAACGCGACTACTTTTTGACACTAATACTATGAAATGTGGTATTTATATCGGTTCATTTAAGAAATCCTTGTAATTTGAATTCCACGTGAAACAAGATGAGAATGACAGCCAGATGTAATGTGCCCTTGAAAACTGTAAAAAAAAGCTATCCGAAAAAAACTAAAGTCAGCAGCCTTCAGAACCATTCGTGTACGATTTGGAAAACCGGCTACAGGAATAAAACAGAAAGAAAGAAAGAAGCAGTGACACTGTGGTTTACATGGGACTTTAGCAACATGAGAGCGTTTTCAAATGATATGCAACTTTCTTCTTTGTCTTCCTAAAGAGTCCACCTGTACACTACTGTCATCAGCAGGGTTGTTAATGTGTCAAAAGGGAACCCGGTAGAACCTTTTGTCCAGGGAATGTGATGTTACACTCGGCCATACACGCAGCATAACGTGCTCATGAAAAACCCATCCGAAATGAAGTCCTCCGTTCTTTTATCGGATGTTCTGTTGTTTTTAAAAGATGTAGCTTTGAACACATGAACAAGAGAACGTGTGAACGAACACCTTTGGAAGCAACCAAATGGTTTGGCTGCTTCTTCTTTTGTTAATCCAGCTAATGATTGTACTTTAGTTGTTTTTTTGCGAGCAGCTTGTTGAAGACATTCTCTGTACGTCATGTTAACTACTGTCTCTTCAATAACCTGCTCAGAATGGATGTGGCAGTGACGGACAGAACTAACAGGTTGCCTTACAGTTAGTCCGAGGATCACGTCACAGGGAGTGGACTTGTCCTTTTATGGTTCCGCCGTGACACCAGAGGGCTGAAGGACCTCAGCGAACTGTTGGAGAGACAAGGTTACCACCGTGTTCCTGAACCATCGGCCATGTCGATCATCTAGAAGCCTATGCACATAACATGTTAACTGAGCGTTTGCATTATTAGACTATCTGAGAATTAAAGAAAACAACTCGACTTGCTGTTCATGACATTGTCCTGCAGATACAGGGTGGGTTGTCTTTTGTGTCTTGGTATTTAAAGTACATGGCAGAGCTGTGATCCTGCTCTTCCACCATCATGAGCTGCAGTCTGTTTTAAAACACAGAAATGCCCAGATTTGAGCTGAAGAAAATTCAGTTATCTTTCAAACAGAATCACATTTAAACTCTGAGGAACAAAGGGAGGAGGGGGGGGGTTAATGATGCTCAGCTTCAGAGCTCATGGCAGCCCTCAAGCATTGGCTACTGTCATGCATCAGTAGGGCTGTATGTGATTATTAACTTCTTGATGGGTTTTTTATCGGCATCTGCTCTGTGCACACAAGCTGACTGTTTTTGCAGAACGTCAGTCATTTCCCTGCAGGGATTATAACTAATATACATATCGAGTTATTTCATTTTCAGCAATAAATATTGATTGAATAACCGAGAATGTGGTGCCAACTTTGAATGTCCAGGCTGTAGCGGATTCTCCCGTAACTGTGCATGTTGATATTACTTTACATAGGCAAGTTTTTTATTTTTTGCAGATTGATCTAGCACATGATGCATGTTTCAGTAAAAACAAATCTCCCTCTTATCAAGTCAATGTAGTCTGAAATTGAGTCCTCATAGGTATATTTTACACACTAAAAGTATAGTAAGAATATTTAGATTTTTCTAAAATCAACTTTTATTATTATTTATACTCTCTAATTTCATAATACAGACACTCATTTTTGTTTTTAAATGCAACACATAAAAAAAGACAGAGCCAGATAAATACTTCATAGAGTAGTTCAATGCTCCGCCTCAACCAGCTACGACAAAAATGCTTTAAATAATTGTATGGTATTTTATGGTATTATATAAGACTTCGTGGTCGTTAAGACAAAAGTTAGACATTAAGTGCGTGTTCATATCTTATCTCTTTTGATGCCTGATTGAGTCGCTTTGTATCGAGCCTACATTCCCCACAATGCACCCGGCGCGGCTCGTTTCCGGTCCTGCGCCGTTTCTGGAGCGGATTGGAACCCGGAGTCAGGATTCGCTAAATGAAGGGTCTTTTGCAGAAAAGGTAACGTGTTTCCCCGTAAATGTACACGGAATTCCCACAAAATGGCGACGCAGTTCTGTGGCGAAGGTGCAGCCGGGTTGTCCGGTTCGCTCCGGGCTTCCTTGCGCCGCCTCCACCGCCGACTGCTTGACGTTGAAGAGCATCGACTCCGGTTTGGCGGTTCGCGTCTCCGGTCCATCCGCCATGCCGACTGTTCTTTGTTACATTTTACTAAAGACCAGCCGCTCAGATCGGAGTTAAAACCCGGCAAGCGTTTGGGAACGACTCAAATCCCGGATCTCGTCTCCTGCCCGGACTGCATACATTAGCATGCACGCTCCAACCGTGTCGCTTATACCAAAAAGCCAGCTAATGTTGTCATAACACGCTGCCGTTTGGCCGGGAGGTCTGATGCATTCAAGTGTCCCAGGTTAAATGTGCGTGCAGGCTTGGAAGTTGAACACTCTTAACTCACTCTTGAAAGTACTTCCCTCATATAAATGTGCATTTTAGGGCGCTCTGTGGGACACTTGTTTCCTATTAATACCATGATATAGTATGATGATCTTTTCTCCTATTTGTAGGTTGGCATAATGGCTGAACAGGCGCCAGATGAGTTCATCTGTGAGTATGAATCCAGCTCTGAACTGTACTGCTGACACAGTGTGACTGTGGGCTGCTGTGACAGGTGTGATGTGTGTCGCAGGGTGTGAGGACTGTGGCCAGTACCATGACTCCGAGTGTCCCGAGCTGGGACCCCTGGTGACCGTCCAGGACTCCTTCGTCCTCAGCCGGGCCCGGTGAGTGACCTTCACTGACTGCAATCAAACATTGGATTTCCATCCATATAACCTAAGTCCATTTTCAGAGATTCAACCAGAGAAAGAAGAAGAGTAACCCCGACCTCTGTCCTCCTCCTGGAGAGGAGAACGATTACACAAAGCCTTTACACGTGTCATGTTATTGATATCACAGAGCTTGTGTGAGTAGAGAGCCATTGCACATAGCCGACTCTCTGGTACTTGAAGTTCCATCCTTCAGGCAAATCCCCACATTTTATTTTAACAAGTCTCTGAAACTACAATGCGGTTATGTAATCGCATTACACTGGGTGAATTATGAAGGAAACAATATAAGTGACTTTTTTTGGTGCGGTTTCATAACAATCATACCAAGCTGCTCCTTGTTTTAGGTCGTCTTTGCCAGACAGCCTGGAGATCAGACAGGGGGCTGACGGGCAGGAGGGGGTGTTTGTGATTCGCAGGCTTGTCAAGAGGACCCGCTTCGGGCCCTTCGAGGCTAAGAGGGTCCCCCACCTGGAGAAGGAAGGAGCGTTCCCTCTTAAGGTGCAGCCACACACGCTTGATGCTCTGCTCTGTTATAAATGCATGGACGTGGTTGTTATTTTTGCTTCCTCTCTTGTTCTCCTCTCGATGGGCAGATCTTCCAGAACAACGGCGTGGTGGTGTGTTTCGACTCCAGCAGTGAAGAGGACTGCAACTGGATGATGCTGGTGCGGCCCGCCGCCGACCACACTCACCAGAATCTGTCGGCTTACCAGCAGGACGATGACGTGTACTTCAACACCTCCCAGGTGCGTGCGTCCATCCTGGACCTGAGCTTCGTTGGTCTCAAGAGTTCAGTGATTCATTTAGTCATTCATTTCAAACAGGAGATTGGCGTCTTCTAACGTTTTGGCTTTCCCGCTTTTTCTTCCCCAAGGATGTGTTCCCAGGAACGGAGCTGAGGGTCTGGTACGGAGCTTTCTATGCCAAGAAGATGGAGATGCCGATGCTTAAGCCTCCACTTCAACCGGCACCTCCACCAGGTAGATGACATCGCTGCACTGATGCTGTTTGTACTGGCAAACAGTGTGAGTTGTGTCTTATAGCATGTCTCTCTTTCACTCAGACATGGCGGAGACCTCAGAGAAAACTGGAGCCCACATGCCCCCGGTGGCTGAAGAAGACAACGCAGGTAAGATCGTTCAAAACATTCATCACCTCCAGTTAGTTGGTTAAATCTGTTTCATTTAAACCCGAGCGAAGACCATTTGGGGTTCCATCGAAAAAGTTTAGCGTACAAGTGTCGTACAATGCACTTCTCAGGAACGAATAAAATGAATGTTACACACATGTTATATACTCAGTTAAAGAAAAAAGCCTGGGCAACAATATCCTGCAAGCCATTTTTACATGCTCCAAACACAATTCTACTTAACTAATATTTCAACTAGAAGATTTACCACAACATCACGTATTTTTCGCCATGAGTCCGCCGGCTACGCACTCCTGTCTGAGCTAACAACACAAAGCTAAAAGCTAACACGGACAACCAATATATCAGAAAGCAAGAGAATTTGACACAGATTCCAGAGATATCTTCCATATTTCTCTCCGTGAAACCATTACAGAGATATTAGCCAACAAGCACCAGAACCACAAACCGCTTTATCAATAATTATCAGAACGCACCTCAACTCATCGTCGTCTTTCGTGTAGAGAACGGATAAATTCCCGGCTATTCCTCCTCAAAATCTGTTCAACGGATGTCCTTGTTTGTCATAATTCTCTTTCCGTGAAGACGGGGGTGGTATTTGACCCAGGGAAGCTGGGGGAAGGGATTTGATTTTCGGCGTATCGGATTTTACGCTTCGCGAGGGACGGCACAGTTTTGATTCTGAAAGTTTAACGATTCTGTCAATCAATCCCACGTTGACCCAGCTCAATTCTATGGACTCTGACGCGTCGAAGGAGGGTTCATTGACTGAAATCGGCCAATGGGCTGCTGACTTAGGCCTGCATAGACACAGAGAAACTGCAGGCAGACGAGACAGCTCCATGGATCACAGACACAAAATGGGCTCAGAGAGGATTCTAGCTCTCAAAATGAAGCCAAACTGCTGTATTTGGATAGATTTAACACTAATAGTGATAAAACAAGTGAAATATATAGTTATATAGTATAGAAAATAACAATGGAACAGCTGGTTCCAAAATGACAATTTGGGTGAACTCGCCTGACCTCTCTGTACTAAAACCTCTCTAATTTTGTTCTGCTTCACTTTATCAAAGTCAAACTTTGCACAGAGACTGCTCACATATTGTGCTATGATTTGGGAGAGGTTTTAGACTTGCCACTACATCATTCCAAAGAAATAATAACAATAAAAGTGCTTTTTTTTCAGGCGAACCTGAAACTTTTCAATTTGAGCTGTGTGCCATCTTCATTTACTCTTAACCAGTAACACATACTCTGATATTTACACATCTGAACAAATCTCACAAGTGTTACCTTTATTATAACATCAACATTATTAAAATAGAACTTCTAGTTGCAGAAATACACTCTTTTTAGTATGGGTATGCAATTTTCGAGCAGAGGCCTAAAAATAGGGCGAGGGTTAAAAAGGATATTATTAAGAGGGAAGCTAAGTTTAGGGTCATGTCGGGGTCAGCTGTTTCTCTCCACAGGGATTCAACAGGGGTGGAAGTCTGTTTGAAACATCTCTATGCTGAGGGAAACGCCGTGTCATAGTCACTCACTCTGATTCCCTCTGTTGATCACAGGCAACATGCTGAGTCACCTGGATGAGACGGCGACAGCAGCGGCGCTTCCGGTGGACCCGCTCCTGACCCGAGAGGAGGAGAGCCTGGTTGGCCCCGATGAGGAGGAGGAGGTATGCGCCCCCCCCGCAGCTCAGCCGGTCCCCAAGAGAGGGCAGGGTCGAGGGAGAAGAGCCAAGGGACGCAGGCCCGGAGCTACGGCAAGCAAAAGCAAAGGTGAGAGGAAAAAGCAGCTCTGCTTGAGCAGATAAAACCCAACCTGAAGCACACGACAGTTTGAAATGGGTCTTTGGAGCAAAATTGTGGTGAACTTGTTTGATAAGTTGAGAAGGACAGTTGTTAAGGCTCTAGAACGTCATATATAATCAGCAGCATTTGTGTCAGTTCATGACTGGCGTTCATGAACATATAATTAGAAATTCATCTCAGATACTATACGCTTAGGGTTCACACTGCAATACAGCGCTCACTTTTTTTATCCTCCACTTGCTATCAGAATCAGATTTATCACCACATATGTTTTCACATACAAAGAATTTGCTTTGCTGTACATAGTACGGGAAATTAAAAATAAAAGTAAGTTGTTGCAAGAATCCTAAAATACTATAAAAATGTGTTCAAATAACATAAATATAAAATAGAAGAAAAATACTTTAAAAATCTGTACAATATATCTGAATTAAAGTGGAAGTTTTGTGCACAAATAAACAAATTGTCCCATGACTGTACAAAGGTTCACAGTATGAAAGAATATGCAGACAGATGTGAAGATGTTTATGTGGGGTCTATAGGAGGCGATAAGAGTCCCGGGCTTTGCTGATGAGGCACATTGCTGTCACTCCACCACCTTCTTCCTACATGTGTAACACACAACTCTGAAGTGATCAAGTTGCAACAGGTTCAGGCACATTCTGCAGAGGCTGTCAGATGGCATTCTGGGAAAATGTTACAAATGTCTAACTGAGGCAGTCTGTGATTGGAGGCTAGCAGCCTTGCCCTGGGGACAAATGTGTCAGACCACCACTTTGGTCCAGATTGAAATATCTCAACAATTACTGAATAAAATCTTGTACATTCGTGGTCCCCAGAGGATAAATCCTACTAGCTTTAGTGATTCTAGTCAAAAGTTTACTGTCGTTTATGACCAAATACCTGCATAACTAATGAGATACCAGTCAACCTCAGCTTCAAGATGTGATTAGTGCTAATTAGCAAATGTTAGCATGCTAAACTACAAGGGGAACATGGTAAATGTATATTATTATACCATACATAGTTAGCATTTAGCCTCGCATAGCGTGGCTGTTTTTCCTATGCCTCTTGATTATTTAATGTAACGTTAGTGAAATGGTTATTTTTTTATTTAATGTGATTATGAAGAATACAGGTTCAACTGTAAAGTATTATCTTCAAAACAAAAGTGTTTACGTTTAAAGCAAATTAGATCATTTCTGCCAATATGTATTGTTCTTATATTTTCCCCTTTGACACTGGGTTCCTGATGTGTGCAGATGTGAAGCCCTCGGTGGCGAGCTCCGAGCCAGCAGCAGCAGCAGCAGCAGCAGCAGAGAGCAGCAGCCTGCTGGGCTCTCCGGACGGCGGGGCCGTCCCGAAGAGACACAAACCCAGAGAGCACAAGAGGGTCTACCGCTGCTCGCTCTGCAACAAGGTCTTCCAGAACAGCAGCAACCTCAACAGGCACATCCGGTCTCACGGTACGCGGAGATCAGTGAGCAGAGGAGCTGATCTTTGGCTCTTCAGAGCAGCGTTAGATTCATCGCAAAATTCAAATACAGTTAACGTTGGGAATGAGTGGATGCATTAAGCGGCCCTTTTATGTGCATTGTCCCCAGGTGATAAGCTGTTCAAATGCGATGAATGCGACAAGTTATTCAGCCGCAAGGAGAGTCTGAAGCAGCACATCTCTTACAAGCACAGCAAGAATATGGTGAGTTAGACTGCAGAGCTGGTGGCTCAGGAGCTTTTGGTTACCCTGCTAGTCAATGAGTCTTCTATTTATGTGCTTCTAACAGATTGACCAGGACTACAAATATAAATGCAACACGTGCGAGAAATCCTTCCGCCTGGAAAATGCCTTAAAGTTCCACAACTGTCGGACAGGTAGGATAGTCTCTCAGGAATGAATCATCTCCTCGCTTTTCTTCCTTTGAAAGATGTTTCCCGATCACATTCCTGCCGGGGTCCCCTCCGTCCGATTTTATCATCGTCCCTCGCTCTCTTTCTCTCTCTGTCGCTCTCTCTCTCCAGACGACAAGACGTTCCAGTGCGACATCTGCTCGCGCTTCTTCTCCACCAACAGTAACCTCTCCAAGCACAAGAAGAAGCACGGTGAGAAGCTCTACTCCTGCGAGATCTGCAACAAGATGTTCTACCGCAAAGACGTGATGCAGGAGCACCACAGGAGGCACGGCGTCGGTGAGTTTCACGAGGGCGGAGAGCATCGACTTAATTTTGTCTCTGTGTGGAAAATTGACTTTGTGTTCAGGTGCGTCATTGACAATCCAGATGAAGTTGCTTTAGAAACATGGGACTGGATCAAAAATCTGCTTCTAAACCAAAACATAAATAAACATGCATCTTGACAGGACCAAAGCACATGAAGAGAGAGGAGCTGGAGGCCAATGGAGAAGAAGGAACCAGGTACAGGAAGGAGCCGTCACCCTGTCCCATCTGTGGCAAGGTGAGCACTCCACACGGCAGCCATGATTCATGGCAGCAGGTCAAAGAGCTGCACGCGAGGAGAGGAGGGTAAAAAATTTTACCGTGGGTGTTTGTGTGCACAGGTGTTCTCCTGCAGGAGCAACATGAACAAGCATCTGTTGACTCACGGTGATAAGAAGTACACCTGTGAGATCTGCGCTCGCAAGTTCTTCCGCGTGGACGTCCTCCGAGATCACATCCACGTTCACTTCAAGGTGAGTCGGGGCCGACACTTCTCAGTCGTTCACGTTTATCCGCCGTGTTTCTTTTCTTCATCAGCGAGCGATAAGACACAGGCGTGGGGATCACAAGATCCAAATAAATTCAAAATATGACTTTTTTAAATAGACCATAAGTCATCAGCACCTACAGCTGTGTGTATTTGTTCCGACAAAGTAGATCGGTAAGAAGGCCTTGTCTGGAATGTGGCATGATATCAAGTAGTGATGCATATTTACAATGGTGGAGAGTAAGTACATTTACTCAAGTATTGTACTATTTAGAGGTACTTCTACTCTACTATAATTCATAGGGAAATATTGTGCTTTTTATTTGTTTTAGTTTTTTTAATACCCGTAGTTTGAGCAATGTTGCATATTCAGTTCAATAATACAAAATATAATAAGATAAATCATAATGATGAATTATTACAGATTAAGACAAACCATTATTGATCCCACGGTACTTTAAAGTGTGTCAAGTCATTTAAATGAACTCCACTATCAGCAGCTACTACATTAAAGTGATGAGCACATCAATCAATCCAGTAATATAATACACATGATTCTGAAATGGGCCATTCTGCATAATGAGTACCTTTATTTACTTATTGTTACCATGTGGTTTTACTTAAAGTTACTAAGAGGAACTCTTAACTGTTTATGAAACCGTCTATTATAACTAACTTATTTGTGCAGGTATGTAATCATGCATTCATCATTGAAATTCAAACCTGTTTTTTAAAGAAAGTGCCTCCGCAACATCCTCGTATGCACAACCATGTGACGAGCCTGATCCTGCACATGCACTGAATTTAAGACTGTCGACAGTTTTGTTGTCCAGCAGCTCTGCAATGTAACCGATGAACATAAGTAGACTTTGCTGGTATGGCTGTTCACAATGTATTCCTCGGATAGGTATAAACGTTTCATTGAATTCGGTTAGGACTCCCCGTCTGGATAATAAATGAATCATTTCAAAGAGCTCTGTTTGCTCCAGGATATAGCCTTAATGGACGAGCAGGAGAGAGAGGGCTTCATCAAGAAGATCGGCATCTCGGCAGGCGACAGCGACGAAACGGACGACGACGACGAAGAGGAGGAGGAGGAGGAAGAGGAGGAGGACGATGATCCCGAGCACCACAAGTACAACTGCAAGAAATGCCAAGTAAGCTTTTTCCTGGCAGGCGTGGAGATCCCCTGCACACTTTAAGTTCTTCATCTTACTCACTTGTAATAAGATAAAAACATTTCCGCGAGTTGAAGCACATTTAGAATACAGAATGCTTTGACGTTCCCCCGGTTATCTCGAGCAGCGTTCACTGAACACGCTCAAGGCCGTGCATGAAGGCTTAGATCAGATAGAGTGCTATAACCTCACTGTGTGTACCCTGCATTGTTTTTCCTTCACACTAATTCACAAACCTCCTGTGTCTCTAGTTGTCGTTTGCTAAGGGCAAAGAGTACCTGAGGCACATCCTGGAGCAGCACAAGGAGAGAGGCTACGGCTGCGGGATCTGTAACCGACGCTTCGCGCTGAAGGCCACGTACAACGCTCACCTGGTCATCCACAGGGAGCAGCTGCCTGACCCCGCAGTGCAGAAGTAAGCACATAAGACGTCTTCCAGCTCACGTTGGTGTCTGTGGTCTTTGTGTTTTTGCTTTAGCCTGGTCCAAGTATTTGGAACAGGAAAGACAATTTCAAAGTGTAAATGTAACGTATAACAAATGACTGAGATCCAAAGCCATTGTAATCATTTCTAATCTGCTCTGGTGTCCCTAAAGGTACATCCATCCCTGTGAAATTTGTGGCCGAATCTTCAATAGCATCGGTAACCTGGAAAGGCACAAGATCATCCACACTGGTGAGCGCCGGCCTCAGATCTCTTTATACATACGTTTGTCCCATTATGCGTGTGATCTCGAAACCGTTTCATGTTGGAAGTTTCCTCCTGAGGTAGATGTCTGGACAAGGACGCCAAATGGTCACAAGCTTTGGTTAAATAGTTGTAAAGCAACGCTGTGAAACAAAGACTTGCATGCATCGAGAGCGAGACTCTACATTGAACTGCTGCCTTACCTCCGACGGCTCCAAGAAATCTTTGTTGAGTTTTTGCCGTTGCATCCACGGGTTGTCTACACACTGCAAATATCTATTTGCGATTAGATGGAGGAGCGTGTTCGAGGGATAAGAGCCGCGTTGATGAGACATTATGAGCCTTAGTAACGTCTAAAGAATGTATCGGTGCAAACAAAGAAAAACAACAAATATTTCCTATTGTTCTTTTTCTTACTTCTCTCTGTGATAAACATGTTTCACTTCCCATAATGCTCTGGGGAATGGATGTAAGCAGGACGTATAATGTTGCCATGGGGTTTTGACATGTTTGGCATAATAACATGTAATAGAAACATAAGTTAGTCACAGAGACACAAGATAACAATACATTTCTTTCATTTCACCTGCTGAATGAGTGCCTGCTAACACGTGTGTCTGTTTGGTCTTCCAGGGGTGAAGAGCCACGGCTGTGATAAGTGTGGCAAATCATTCGCAAGGAAGGACATGCTGAAGGAGCACCTCAGGGTTCACGACGACATCCGGGACTTCCTGTGTGCAGAGTGCGGGAAAGGTCAGGCCCTCGCTGCTGCAACACGCTCAATGTCACTGTGCAAACCGCACCGTCAGCACGTAGGTGCTCCAACGGGCATGTTGGTCTCAAAAGGAGGGTCAGGCGTGTTGTTGCCTCATTGCTATCTTGAGGCAACAGAAAGCCATTGAGCAACAAAAGCCTGCTCTGAAGTCAATGGTGCAGTATTTTCCTGCTGTTTAAAGGGCACATTATTCAGATAGTAAGATGTGCCGACACTGCTTATTACACATACAGGAACGCATAGCAGAACTCCTCCTCAGTTAGTCAATGGACATCAACAGATAGTAAGAGGAGTGCCCTCCTAACCAGTAAACAGAGCATGAAACGCATCAGTATAATTGTAGGGCTGTACCCAATAGTTGGAAGCTTCACTCATAACGCTGACATTCAAATTAGAAATCAACATTTGAATGCTGCGCCGCTTTTAATTTTTTGCATTTTCATTGATTTCGACCTGGTATTTCTGCACATTTGCAGGTAAGATCAGGCTACACTCGTATCAGTAGTATTCATAACTCCAGAGTGGTGTAAATTACTAAAGTCAACCTCAATTGAAAAAAGATGGATGGAACCCTTTTCCAAAATTCACGTGTTTTTATCTAACAAAATATTCTTCTCTAATCTATATTTTAAAACGTTTTCACTGCAGAAAAAACGCTCGCTTCTCCAATTTGTCAAATCTGCCACTTAAAAAGCAATGTGTCAGGTGCATCTGGCTTTTAACAGGAATGGGAGACGACACAGATTTTGGTTTTATTCATGTTACGCCCAAAACACAGCTTAATTAACATACCAAATACAACCCCTTTGCTCCTTGCGCCTTACTTTGCGCCCAGATTATGCACCGTTTGGCTAACAAACACACCCCTAAATACATGAGCTATGCACTTTAGACCATGTGCTACAGATCATTTAAATAGCCCCCCCCCCCCCAAGAGTTGATGTTTGGATCACCACAATATCGAGCAGATGCTTTCCTGTGCAGGCATGAAGACCAAGCACGCTCTGAGGCACCACATGAAGCTTCACAAGGGCATCAAGGAGTACGAGTGTAAAGAGTGCAACCGCAAGTTCGCCCAAAAGGTCAACATGCTGAAACACTACAAGAGACACACAGGTGAGACACAGTTTTAGACCACAAAACAGACGGAGGCGTGTGATCGCTTGTTTGTTTTCGCGTGATGTTGACAGTGCAAACTTCACAGAACAGAACTTGGTGTGTTAATGTTTGTCTGTGACATTTTGCTTGCAGGTATAAAGGACTTCATGTGCGAGCTGTGTGGAAAGACGTTCAGCGAGAGGACGACTCTCGAGACGCACAAGCTCATCCACACAGGCAAGTTTCTCATGTCAGACCATGATGATGGAAAAAGAGCCAGAATCCCAACTTCTCAGTCTCCTACTATTACAAGACTTTAATTTACAATTAAAAACAAATTGAGTGGTTTCTGGTCAGACAACAGCAGATTCTGCAGCCTGACTTTATGCAGCCAGAATAAAAAAAACTCTCGCCACTCTACCTATTTGCTTCTGTTTTAATGCCTTATGCTAAGCTAACCATGTCTGTGTATCTTCATAGTTACCGCACAGACATCAGTGGTATTAATCTCGTCATCTATCTCAGCAAGCGAGCCAATAAGCGTATTTTCCAGAATCTCAAACTATAAGGGGAAAGTATTAGGATTTATTCTGTTTAAATAACAGTATTATTCATTGAAGTATTCAGTTGTATTTTTGACTATTTTTTTTTTGTCAGTTTTTGGGCTCCATATCAAAGATAGAGTAGAAAGAAAGGTACATTTTAAGTTAAAAACTGTAACAATACTGCCACCAGTGGCCTGCGCAGTGTTAACATTGGTGCATTATTGCAATCTCTCTCTCTCTGTCTCTGTCTGCAGTGGGTAAGACGTGGACGTGTGCCACGTGCGACAAGAAGTACCTGACCGAGTACATGCTGCAGAAGCACGTCCACCTCACCCACGAGAAGGTGGAGGCCCAGTCGTGTCACCTCTGTGGGACCAAGGTGTCCACCCGCGCCTCCATGAACCGCCACCTGCGACGCAAACACCCGGAGGTGAGTCCCGTCGGGAAAGGGGCCCCGGGCCGGTCCTTTTTGTCATTGTTGTCCTTTGCCCCTCCAGGTGGTGTCTGTGAGAATGGATGAGTTTGATGATCTTCAGGAAGCACCGACAATCAACGATTCGTCTATCAGCATTGTGCAGGTTAGATTGCAGATCTTTCACAATGCAGTGTTTGCATGATTTACATTTCATATCAATGAATCGGATGCTGAAATGATGCTGATCTCTGGCAGACTGTACATCATGTTCCTTAGACTCTTAACTTCCTTGTGCTGACGCTAAATATAGAACTATATAATATAAAGACTTCCTGTTTCTTCACATTATGAGCTATGAATCAGGCACAAACGTACTGGTGTTCCTTTGCATCCTGTGTGACATGTCGACAAACCAAATCAAATGTCCCACCTCCCTCCTCAGCCCACTCTGACGCTGGAAAAAGACGGCATGCCCCAGGAGAGGCCTGGCCGACCTTTCCGCCACCCCAAGAAGAAGCAGAGAGTTCTAGCTGAGCCGGAGCTCTCCGAGTCCGACGAATATGCTGACTTCGCCGAGCCGAGGCACGAGCCCATGGCGGAGTTCCACGCCGTCATCGTCGGCGACGAGACCGAGACCAGCTCTGCCGTGCAGAGTATCCAACAGGTAGACAGAAAGATCTTCACAAAAGTTCTTGTTTTACTCTTATAATAAATTGTCCAATCTCTTTTTTGTTTTTATTTTTATTTTTATTGTCAAAGACCACAAGAAGTGGGCAGCAGTTTTGTTTGCTGAAGTGCCGAATGCCCAGAGACGACAGAATGAATAACAATACACAGAAGCAGTGATGATAAACATCTGGCTCTGTGTTACTGGGAGCTTGACATTCTTCTTGTTGGTTTTGTTTATTGTGGTAAACAGTTAAAAGCTGTGACAAGTCATACATGTCCCTCTAAAAGGGTAAAAATAATTTATATACAGTGAAACTGACAAAACACAAGGGAAATAATTATAACTAAATAACATACTTAATTAGTGTAAAATAATTATACTTAATGCTGTAATATCTGGAAGAAGCACAGTAATAATTCAAGTTTATTTTTGTTTAATCAAGAAAGGGTTACATCCTATATTAAGTCATAATTAACAGTTAAAGTAATGTGATGTTATGACATTATTATATTTAACAAATGTTAATAAAATATATATATATATATATATATATATATATATATATATATATACAATTTAAAGTTTAGACAAATTTCCATCGTATGAAATATAAACTAGCCTTTATGGCTAAATCTGGCACATTTACCTGCGTTAGTGTGCGTTGTCCCTTCTTCAATCAAACAAACATAACCGTACAGTATAAAGTATATCCGACCTGCTGCTGTTTCAGGTGGTGGTCCTGGCCGACCCCAGCGCTCCATCAGCCTCTTCACCCAACAGCTCGGTGGGTCTGACCAACATCACTGTGACGCCCATCACAAGCCACGCCCCCGCCCAGTTCACCAGCCTGCAGCCCGTAGCCGTGGGCCACCTGACGGCCAGCAACCGGCCCCTCACCCTGGACAACTCCATCCTCACCGTCACCTTCGACGCCGTCAGCGGCTCCGCTATGCTCCACAACCGGCCAGCCGAACTTGTCCCAGAGACGGTGGGCCCCGGCGGGGGCACGGCACCCCAGTCGGTCTCCCACTTTATCAACGTCACCACTCTGGTCAACCCCATGGGCCACCAGCTGGAGGCCCCGACTCTGGCCTGGAGGCCCGTACCGGCGGTCGAAGGTGGCCAGGTCACCCCCGTGGTGGAGGGAGCACAGGGTCAGGAGGACCGGAACCAGGGCCCGGAGCCAGGCAGGCCCGTCCAGAGCCAGCCCCCCACACCGCAGCAGCAGAGCGGCTCCGCACAGCAGATGTTCGGCTACTAGGGCGGAGACTGGAGGTGCTGGTCACCTCACACTCACAGACATTGTAATATAGTAGAATAGATTTTATCAATGCCACCCTGATGCCTCTCCAGCCCCATGGAAGTGAATGAAATTGTAATGATTTTTTTGTATACTGACAAAACACAGTTGCTGTAAATAGCATAATATAAAAAAAAAAAAGAAGAGAAATGGTACATTTAGCCTAAATCACTGACCCTCTTCTGGAATATTTACATTTCAAACCAAAGCAGCATGTTGAATATTCAAATGCCTTATCAGCCTTTTAAAGACATGCATGTTTTCAAGATCAATCTGCTGCTCAAACAATGAAAACGTAGCAACCTGAAGGACACATGTAGTGCAGTGAAAACACTTCTAGCAGGTTGTGCGGCGATACATCACGGTTGGCATCACTCTTGAAATGTTGCTTTTGAATGCTGTAAACTGTATTTACTGATGCGTTGTGAGTCCTGGAAGAGTTTTTGTAATGTTTATTTTAAACAAAATACCTCTTTGAAATGGCCGTTGTTTTGATTCGTCTTCGAATTAATTTAGTTTGTGTTTTCAATAGTGACAACTTTCAGCCGCAACGCAAGGCCACTGAACCCTGAGCAAACCTGGTCTCGGTCTGTTTATAGCTGCGTGACCATCTGTCCTGCATCTGCGCTGATCTCAGACCAGCGAGCCTGTTTGTCCTCCAGTCAGTCAGCAGCTGATGGCTTCCCTGCAAACAGCCCGACGTGAGTGTGACACACATGATCAGAGTGCACGGATGTGCGTGTGTTTAGTCGAGTCATCGCTCACGTTCAGTCAAATTCTGCAGAGAGATTGTTTGAAACGGTATTCATTCAAAAGTGTTAAAGAAACAAATGAACCAATGAATCAATATAAACAATCAGTTGAATTTCCAAAAGGGTTTCTTTCCCTTTACCAGGTGTATGAATAATACGCATATCCTCCAGAGAGCCTACCACTAATGAGCAGTATGGCAACAGGTTCTTTTTTTAAAAAGTAGGACAAATAATAATTAACATGGAAGAAAAAAATATATTGGTTTGTTTGAGTATAAATAGTAAATAATTTAAAATCAGCATCTCATCTCCTAGATATGGAAGAATATGATCAAATATATCTATAGTTTTCCTTCCAAGATAAATTAATTTCTTTACAAACTAAAAGTTCTTTATTCGTGTTCTTTTAATATTTCTGTTGTTGAAGAAAATATTTAATTTGTGAAAACATGAATAGCATTTCCCCGAACTAAAGTTCTTTCTTTGCTTTTCAATCTGAGGCCAAACGGTCTCAGAGCTTGTTCGTCTTTACTGCAGCAACTGAAATGTATGAATACATTTAAAACATGCTCTTTTTTTACTTTACCAGCAAATAAGAAGTATCTTGCTTTTACACGACTATGTATCCTCATCTAAAGCCATAACCTTTATTCTCTAATTTTAAATTCAGAGCCAAACAAAGACACAGAAAACCATTAAACGTTCGATCAGACGGCATTCTTCACTACCTTCATTTAGGTTCCGTGAACTGCACAGAGATCAGAATAAACTTTGGGAGATGAAGGTATGGAAGCCTGGAGGAATGTGAGACGGATAAAATATATGTAGTGATAAACAGGATCATCGCGAGATTAAATACAGGCACGGGTTACAAGTACAGACACAAATGAAAGCATTAGGAACGAAGCGATGGTGTAGTAAGATAATAGTGATGTTTTATACAAGCACAAAGCTGTTGAAATATTTTGGCATTTTATAAAAAAAGCACCAGCAGCAATAAGATGTACTATCTGGGACAGAATGTTTCACATAATCCTAAAGTTTGTGTTTGAGTCGTGGCCTTCATACTCTCACATCTAGGATTCTTGTGTGATGTTCAAACAGTGTTTGAGAACAGGCAGAGATGATGTAACCCGACACTGACCCCCACAGAAGAAAAATGTCAAATTATCTTTATCTTTAAGCATATGTTTTCATAAATAGAAATGTCTTATCACAGAGCTAAATGCTTTAATATGAACCCTCCAGTAGATGGCGGTAGTCAGGCAACATATTGCACACAAGAGGGTGAAATATAATGCTGTTAATAGATTTACATAAACTTCTCAAAATAAGATTAGCAAGATTTAGAAGGATTCATCTAGAATTCCTCACACGCTGCTGTCAGTAAGTAGTACGCTGAATGAACAACCATCACATTCTTATGTCCACACTCATGCTTCAAATAAGCCCCGAGGAAACCAACTGAATGATGGGAAGTCCAGTGGAAAGCAGTACTATAAATAATACGGCAGCACATGTCTGAGCTGCGTGCTGCCACACGCTGAGATTTACTGTACGACATTCTAAAAACACAAGATACTGGTTGTGGTTCGTTGGTTAGTCTTTTTTTACATCTCGTGACGGATTTGCAAGCTAGTTTGTGAGATGATGTATGATTCCTTCAGGCACTTGTCCTTACTGGTACCTTCAGACCAGCAAAGCTCGAAACAAAAGAAGCACTTTATTTTCATCCCAGAGGAGGAAAAGTGGATGATCCTGATTTATCCTCTTGTTGGCAGTCAGAGCAGTGAAGCAGATAAAAACGGAGCCGATTTAATTATCACACCGATCAAAGCTGCTCTTTCATGCTAATGATCAAGAGGTGTGATGCCGCCCAAGAGAGCACTTTACATGAGGGGTGGGCCCTCTGTTAATTCACACCGCGCTGAACAACTTTTTAATTGCTGTTCATGTTAATGCAGCAGCCTCTGGGGGGGGACGAGAGCCGGCAGCCTGACAATGAAGCCCGGCTCCTCGTGGACCAATGAGATGTGCTTATTGTCTCAACAGCCTCGCTGATGACATATTTACCCTCAGCCCTCATGCCTCGTCCTTCCGGTTTCCTTCTTCAAACCTGGAGAGCAGCGCGGAGCAGGGTGACACGATGAGGTCATGTGTTATTCTGGTGGAGCAGAGGTAAATAGAGAGGTGGTGCTAACGATACAGAATGAATAATCGTGTCTGTGGAGACGCATTGGATTGTGATTTTATCCTGGAATACACACGGGGCAAGAGGAGCTGATGCCCCGAGTGTATTCCAGGATAAAATACTTTTTACATGAAGATATAGTGAATGCAGTTTTCAGTCAGTATAGGGTTAACATGCAGGTAAAACATAGTTACGGCCTTGAAACCGATGCAAAATATAAAAAAAATCATCACACAACACAGCAAAGAGAGCTTTAAGGGAGTGTATGAAAATGATTGGCGGGGAAGATAAGGGTCCGAAGGTAGTCCGAATATTTTTGGAAGAGCAAAAAAGGATATTTTTCCCATTACAGATCAATCCTTGTGAAATGTCGTGTAAAAAGCCAAAAGTTATTTGTCAACACGCTGCCTTTTTAAAGAATGTTACAGTAACAGTTTGTTGTATTTTATCCGTGCAGTGCGCCAGCGTTTTGTCATTATTGCATGTTCTGTTTGTGCTCCAGACCATGTGATCGTGGTCCTGAGCCACAAAGATAAATGAAATGATTTCATGGATAGTCCGACCTCTGATCTCATATCAGGCTTTAGCGTCATCCAAGTCATATTTTGTGAGTCTTATTTTTCATACCTGGGACGGGTGGTCTTGAGCTCGTTTCACTCCTTCTGTTGCTGGAATATTCGCCATTTTGTTATGCTTGCAGAAATAGATTGTTTTGGGGGGGGTGGTGTCTTTTTTGAGGGGAGGGTCCAAAAATGTAATTAAAACTGGGTCAGGTCGTTGTCTTAATGAAGCATACGTTTCAACGCAATCATTTTGTACAGTCCCTAACACTAGGGTTCTAATGAGCTTGTTTTTTAATCTGTAGAAGGTATGAGTTACAGTTTCTTACAGGTTTTAGGGCCTAAATCTGACATTTGATGTCTCACATTCAGGGGCTCTATGAATTGCATGTTTGATGTCTTCTATGAACTTACTTCCTTATATTTATATCGGCTTATAAAACAGCGTAGCCTGAGATAAGACTGGTTTAAACTCCACTACATACTTGTTTTATGATAAGTAACAAAATGAATCATTTACAGTCTCCCACCAGAGGACGCAGCAGCACGGCTGCTCTCCTTCTGTCACTGGAAAGGAATTTCATGCCATGACAATCCCCGGCTGTTTAAAAGAACGTGACAATCCTCCTCTGCTGAGAAGATGAGTCCACACATCTGGTCAATATCACATAACCTGCCTATTGTTACTACGAATTCCCTCCTCTTACCTCTCGGGGCTTTGAATTTGCATAATGGACTACAGTGAGACAAAGGTGTGTTCTATGAAATGACACATTACTAGGTTCATGGACTCCGGCTCAGCGTGAAGATTATATTCTCCTTTTCAGAAACATGAGAGCGCTCGTGACTGTAGGGCATCTGGAGAACTGACTGTCTCAGGACACTGTGGCAGCGTGGTGCCTGGTGGCTTGTCTTGTTTCCTAAAGCATTCCATCTTTTCCACTGTGTTTCAAAACCAGGAAGTGGTGTCACGGCACCAGGCCCGGCCCCTCTTACTTCACCTGAACAGAGGGAGGGGCCTCATTGAGCTTGACAAGGGGAAAAACAAGGAAGAGCTCACAAGCAGGCAGTTCAGTGTGTCTGTTCACAAGCCCAGATTGTGCCTTGGTGACGGATATAAAAGAGGAGTTTACCCTGCTGCTGGGTTTCTCAACGTGGATATGGACGTACCGGATTCTCATGGGAATATGGGGCTGTTGAGGACCTTTAACTCCCCTGAGTTTGGCAGCTGGGAGAAAATAGGCTCAGGTGGATTTGGACAAGTATACAAAGTCCGGCACGTACAGTGGAAAACATGGCTGGCTATCAAGTGCCCTCCCTGCCTTCATATGGATGACAAGTAAGTTCTAGCTGTTGAGCCACATGGATCATCTTTAAAATGACGAATTTGTGTTTATGTAAAATGATATGAAGTAGTATAAAACAAAGCTCCTGTAGAAGGGACTTCTTATTTTTTTTACTTATGCGGTCCCTCTGAGTACCAGATCAGAACATCTGAAAGTCTGTCTATACCCAGCTCTTGTCTGTTAGTTTGTCACTTGATGACCAGTTTATGACCAAATAGCAGACAGACAGGAGCTTAGACTACAGGTATGTTGGTGAAAAGTCATTCATTGCCTGGAAGTCCTTAAGAGCCAGGCGATGTGTGACTCATCTAGTGCTAGTCTGGGCACACAGTGCAGCTATTATCAGCAAACAGAAGGCTATGTTTCTGGATATCTAGCCACTGTTTAGTTGTGTTGCAGGGACCACTGACATGTTCATTCATCCCCTGTGAGAACCACAGCTGTTTACTTATCCAAACCATACCCCAACATGAAAGGTTCACCAACGATTTCCCCAATCAACAGTGACATTGTTATCTATGGGCCCCAGGGAGGGGCTGATTTAAATAAATGTGCATTTCATTAAGGGAAGCAAAGTGGTCTTTTGTCCCCTCAGGTTCAGCTTGATTAGATTGCATCTTGACTTCTTTAACATTTAGCATAACCATTGTATTTCTGCTCTGCATGGATCTCATGTATCAAAATTGAAAACTGTGTGTTTTATATATATATATATAGATATAGATATAGATATAGATATAGGAAGTGTTTGTGTGAGGGTTTCCATTCTTCTGGGCTGTGTGTAGACACGCTGGGTTCACCTGTGGTCTTCAGACAAATGACAAATATCCCCTCACAATAACTCTCCGTGCTTCAATCCTCTCAGAACCTGTAGTGCCACTTAAAGCGTCCGCTGAACCCGAACCAAGATGTTATCATCTCTATTATCTGCAAAGTACATAAACAGTCATTTGACTGCAGCCTCCATTGACCCGCGCACAGCATCCAGCAACAGGGACTCAAAGCCACCTTTGTCCGCCTGTTGTCGGGCCGCTGTGTGGCACAGACAATAAAAGAAGCTGTAGAACCGGTCTTACCGGGCCTCTCGGTTAAAGCGGGGACATTGTTTTGTTTTTGAGGAGCTGCTGAGGAGCACTTGGGATTAGATGACGGATTTAGCAAACAAATGCTTGCCCATTCTCCCGTGTTTTGTTTGATTATTCCTGCCTGACAGATTTTGGGGGCTTGTGCCTCCTTCATTTGCGCTGAAGGACAATTACAGCCTTTTTGTAACCTGATACACTTTGCACATAATAGACTCTTAGGAGCCTCTTCTGTGCTTCTAATTTCATTTCATTAATCGCAGAACAACAGAATTCCCCAGCCCAGCTCCCTTAATTCTGCCTGTGAAGCACATTCCTGCCAATGCAACCGTTGGTGATTTATCTTTCTCTCATCTGTCCTCATTAAGTGTTTGCATTTTCAAGGGAAAATGGAGATATGTGCGCTGAGGTCATGGATGACCTGCACACGGTGTGTTTGAGGCATGTCAGCGGGGCCGGTGGACTGATAATGAGAGAGCTGTGCAAAGGTTGAGCAACATAGAACAGAGCTCTGTTTAAGCCTCCTGGTGCATTCCAGGCTGGGAAGGGCCTCCGGACAGTCAAGAGCTCAATCCACATACTCGGTCTGAACTGGGGTGAATGAGTTCTAGACGTCTGCAGAGGTCACCGCTGAGGTAAACCCTGGTGGACATTTTGCTTAGCTGTGAACTCAGTAATGGTTACATATAATGCGCTGGAATTTGGGTTAGGACATAAGTTATGCAAAATGTTCCTGCTCAACGAGCATAAGGTGACCTCAGAATCATTAGCTTAATGTTTTATGAGAAGGTAGATTTGATCACTACCTGTGTGCCAATGGGTGTGGAAGGTTTGGTTCCAAACAAGCTTAATAACAATGTTTCATCTCATTTCAGCTGCGGTTTATTTGCACTTCTTGAAATTGCTTCGTCACCGGCACAAGAGCCTGACTCACTGAGTCGCACAATAAAATGTGGCACAAATTCTCATTATCTTCTAAATCACAGGGAGCGCACAGAGCTGCTGGAGGAGGCCAAGAAGATGGAGGCCGCCAAGTTCCGATACATCCTGCCTGTGTACGGGATCTGCGACGACCCCCAGGGCCTCGTCATGGAGTACATGGAGACTGGCTCCCTAGAGACCCTGCTGGCCACCGAGCCGCTGCCCTGGGAGCTGCGCTTCCGCATCATCCACGAGACCGCGGTGGGAATGAACTTCCTGCACTGCATGAGCCCGCCGCTGCTCCACCTGGACCTGAAGCCGGCCAACATCCTGCTGGACGCTCACTATCACGTCAAGGTAGAGAGTTTGTCATAAAGTGGCGTCATTAGTGCCCTTCGAAGGGCCAACAACAAAAAACACCATATCAGAACTGCTGCAATCTGATTTTCTTTCTACGGCAGCAACAACACATAAAAGAATTATGACCTCCTATGAAGTGTAATGATTTTCATTCAAAGCTGGTTGAAAGTTAGATTTCCGGGGTTCTTGAGGGAATCTCAGCCGCGAGGTGGTTTGCTACTCCTTTCTATCCAATTTAAAATGTCAGCCCGTCACACGCTCTGGGCTGACAGGTGTCTCTCTCAGCCCTCCAAACAGCCCTGTGTGCTGAGAGCGATGGGTGGGAACCGTCTTCTCTGGAGTTTAATACGTAGATGTAAACACCTCACCCGGGCCTGTCCCGACAGGATTAACTCAGCTCTTATTAAAGCTCCCCCCCTGTGAACGTGTGTGCATGAAAGAGTGTGGGCGTGAACTCCTCAGCACAAACATGAAGGGCCTCTCCTCTCCTGCAGGCTAGGACAAGGCCGTGTTGCCCTCATCGTGCCACTGAGTGCACATAATGGGAGCTTAGCAGCCTGTCACACTCAAGGGGCGAAGTTAGTCATCAATATCACGGTGCTCCATGAGAAAAAGCTCTGTTTGAGGGTCTTATCTGATCTCTCCCTCTCTCAGATATCAGATTTTGGCCTGGCGCGGTGGAACGGCCTGTCACGGACTGATGACATCAGCAGAGACGGCTTCTGCGGCACCATTGCCTATCTGCCACCCGAGAGCATCATTGAGAAGGACAGAGTGTCGGACACCAAGCATGACGTATACAGGTTGGATTTATCAGCTCTTTGCATGCAACATTTTTGCGTGAATGTAGGTTTTTTTGTGGGAGATTGATTTGGTAGCAAACGAGTTATAACATGTTTAACATATAAAGATAGATTTCTTTAAAAAAGTCAACAATGTTTCAGTTAAAAGGGGTAAACATATTTATAACCACACTACAATTTAATTATTTAAAAGATCTGGTTCGTTTGGGGACGATTTCATTAATAAGCAAGCTCAGCTTGAAATAGAAAATTGTGCCAATTTCTCTGCAGCAATATGTTTGATTTGTTTCTGTGTACTAACATCTCTCAATTTTATTTTGCCTCTGTTCCAGTTTCTCCATTGTCATTTGGGGGATTCTCACTCAGAAGAAACCCTACCAAGGTGAGACTTTCACTATTAATACATGAAACCAATGAATGTTTAATTTCAGGCTGATGGGAAACTATTGATACTTGATAATTATGATAAGTCTGGGCTATAAATATTATCATTTTGTGACACTTAATGATTTGCTAATATTATCATATGTTGTTGTTTTGTGTTTTTACAAATAAATGATTTTAATCAACATTTAATTAACAAGACAAAGAGTCTACAGCAATGCTAGCTGCTGTGGAGCTGTATTACAGTGGTGCTTTAAAGGGGACATGTCATGCTCATTTTCAGGTTCACACTTGTATTTTGAACTTGTACTAGAACATGTTTACAGACTTTAATGTTCAGAAAATACATTATTTTTCTCATACCATCTGTCTGAATATAACTGTATTCCCCCATGGTCTCAAACACTCAGTTTAAGTGCCTTTAGGGTCTCTTTAAGCCCCTCTGCCAAAAATGATTTTCTCATGATATGTCCGATTTAAGTTAAACACTAACACCAGCAAACTAGCATGCTCACAATGACAATGCTAACACGGTGATACTTGGCAGGTATAATGTTTACCATGGTAGCAGTGTAAGTTTAGCGTGTTAGCATGCAAACATTTGCTAATTGGCACAAAACGCAAAGTAGCCTACAAATGAGGATGATGGGAATGTCATTCGTTTTGCAGGTATAGATAAATTATTAACCTCATGGTGATGCGAGAGCTTGATCACATCAAGTCAGAGGACCACCAGAGTCAGCAGGATTCATCTTCTGGTGAACATGAATGTCTGAGCACGATATCATGGCAATCCGTTCAATAGTTGTTGAGATGTTTCGGCCTGGACCGTCTTTCTGTGTCAAAACATCCATTTATCTACTTAATATCTGATGTATTCTACATTTGCTCCATCATTATATAAATATTGATATGAAAAATAAGAAAACAAATATTCTTAACCATAACCCCCATCTCACTCAAGTCAAAGAGTTAAGAGACGGTGTCTTCTACTTAGTAAGTCAAACATTTGACTTGTTATCTCGTAAATCTGACTCATCTCACCTGCAAACTTTTCATCTATTTTTTATATTTTCCTGGCAGGAGTAGTCTTTAATCATTTCCCATAGTGTCGACCTTTCGAGGTGCGTGTTTGTTTGTCTGTACAGGTGCTGTACTGTACGTGTTTACTTGGTGCATTCCAGAGCAGGCACGAGGTGCTTGGCTAACAAGTAGTGTATTTTCTCCCAGGCGTATCAGGTAGCAGTTCATTCCAAGGAATTTGGCTCTTTTTTATAAGAGTATTGTGTGGATGAGGGTTTCCAAGTTGGCACTGGCACCACCTATGTTTACCCAGACATAATTAAAAAGTGAGATATGGCCCGGTTACCATCCCATCCCTTCTTCCTCCTCCACCTGTGACTGGTATTATGGCCACAATAGGAGGCGAAGCACTTGTGATTACGGCCTCTATACCTGTTTGTTCTGAACCATTGGCTTGGTTAATCCCACCGTCAGATAGAAGGAGGCCATGACCGGGAACTCTTGAGAGCTTTTCCCTTTTGCTTCCATGGGAGCAGCACACACGGTCCTATCTGAGCCCACGGGAAGATGGCGATAAAGCTGTGCATATCTATACAGACACTGGCTCCCACCAGCACTTTAGATTAACGTGTCATGTACTGCAGAATGTCATGTCATCTACATATTGTGTTTTAGTATAAAACCTGATGTATTGGTGATGAAACTGAAGTATCCGATTGTTTTTTCCACTAGGTGAGAATAATATCCTTCAGATCATGGTCAGGGTGGTGAAGGGGGTGCGTCCAGACCTGGCTGCTGTGCCCCGCTGTCGGCCCTCAGCCTGTGCAGGGTTCCTGAGCCTCATGCAGCGCTGCTGGACCACAAACCCTGATGCCAGACCCAGCTTCCAGGGTAAATTATGCCACTTTTCTATCATACTAAACACAAGTCATCCTGTTTCTTTAACTAAACACTGTTAAATCTCCAAAAAAGCCTTTCCTCCCCTTTCTGTGTTCCCTAATCCATCCCTGCTGGTACTGAAACGTGACCTAGAGCTGTTGTCCTTACAGAAATCACATCTGAAGCCGAGGAGCTCTGCTCTAAACCTCAAGAGGAGTCCAAGACGCCGACCTTATCGACGTCAGATCCGGAGCCCATGTCGCCTAACGCACTCACTAGTGACCAGGTACGACAGCACCATGTGAACTGCTCCCAATGATGTCGTCTTCTCTGGAGGACCTAGTGTGTCTCTTTGTCAACTTCTTTTGGTCGATTTTTGAACATGGCAGACCATGTCAACTTCCACTCCACTTTATCTTTTGCCGCTTTGCTTGACTCTTCTTCAGAGCTTTTAAACTTGACTGTTTTCCATTAATGTGTAACTATACACCCAGACACCAGGAGGCTTATCACTACATTGCTCAATACATGATTATGACTCTTCAAATCATATGTTATGGAAATTTTTGAGCCGGAACAAAAGTTGCATCACAGACGAGGAATGTTGACTGATGGGATTGTTGAGCGTGTGCACTGCTTTGTCATTTCCGTGGCGTTCGCTGTTGTGTACGTGACTGGGAACAAACAGCTGTAACTGTCTGATGGGACACAAGATAAGCTGTTTGAAATTCCGCATGTGTTCAAGTGACTTTGAATGGGTCAAACCTAAGTTCAACAAATAATCACAATGTCAACATTCAACAGCCGTCGTAAAAGCGCGGGAGCTACATACCCAAGTGTAAATGTAACGAGTTAGGCTGTCAAAGACCAGCTGGTCCAAATATGCTTATCTGGCTTTTTTCTCTACAGGTTAAAGAGAACAAGCTGGTGCGTCCAAAGTCCGCCATGTTGCCGGAAAAAGACTACAGCCTGTCGGAGCTGTTGAGCCAGGTGGATTCTGGGATCTCGAGGAGCTTTGATCGAGTGAAGGAGGATAGCTGCCACAGTAAAGAGAACACTTGCAAGAGGCTGTCTGGCATCTCCTCTGCTGATTCAGCCTTCTCCTCCCAAGACTCCATCACGCTGTCTTTTGAGAAAGAAAACACATGTGGTAAGATCTGATTAAAGACCTACGAGACCAACTATTATTCATGGAACCTAACAATAGTATACAATCAGGGTTTTTTTTTTTTGCCTCAAACCCATACTTTTCCTCCTTATCGTCCAGATTCTGCCGAGGTCCAGAGGCGGAAGCTGTGCGAGGCCATCAGGACCAAAGACACTGCCAAGCTGATGAAGATCCTCCAGCCTCAGGATGTCGACCTTCTCCTCGACGGGGGAGGCAGTCTGCTCCACCACGCCATCGCCTTGGCTAACGAGGAGGCTGTCAAGTTCCTCCTTCTGAACAATGCCAACCCCAACTTTGCAAACGCCCGTGGCTCCACCCCCCTGCACCTGGCCACAGAGAAGCACCTGAAGCCCCTGGCAGAACTTCTGCTCGGGCGGCGCTGCACCAACGTCAATGCCAAGGACGAGGACCAGTACACGGCTTTGCACTGGGCAGCCCAGAACGGGGACGAGGCCATCACGCGCCTGCTGCTGGACCGGGGGGCGGCCATCAACGAGACTGATGGCCAGGGACGCACGCCCGCTCACGTCGCGTGCCAGCACGGCCAGGAGAACGTAATCCGGGTGCTGCTGAGCCGCGGTGCCGATGTTCACATCAAGGGTAAGGACGACTGGACGGCACTCCACATAGCCGCCTGGCAGGGGCACCTGGGCATCGTCAAGCTGCTGGTGAAGCAGGCCAGCGCCGACGTCGACGGGCAGACGACAGACGGCCGCACGCCGCTGCATCTGGCTTCCCAGAGGGGGCAGTACCGAGTGGCTAGGATCCTGATAGAGCTAGGGGCGGATGTTCACATGACGTCTGCTGGGCTAAACACACCCCTACACGTGGCGGCAGAGACGGGTCACACCAGCACCTCTCGCCTCTTGATCAAACACCAGGCGGAGATTCACTGCCAGAATGCCCACGGACTCACCCCTCTCCACCTGGCCTCCCAGCGAGGCCACCTGGCCACAGTCAAGATGTTGATAGAAGAAGGCGCGAAACCCTACAGGTCAGACCAGGCCCTACGCACCCCCTGCCATCTGGCAGCGGAGAACGGTCACTGTGAAGTCCTGAGAGAGCTGCTCCTTCACTGTCCAGGTGGCGCTGCTCTGTCGGACGAGCAGGGGCTCAGCCCACTACACCTGGCACTGCAGGGCGGATACTCGAACATCATCACTATGCTGCTGCCGCAGGACTGCCAGGACTTGGTCCCCGAGAGGTCAGTGCAACCGGCGGCCGATCGGCCCGCGCTGCCGGAGGCCAGGTCTCTCCAGAGGAAAGTGGTCATTCTCAAGCTGACGGAGCGCAAAGACTGCCCACAATCCACCAGCACACAATGCGCCTCAGCACCCTGCTAACGAGAGCAAAGACACTGCCAGGCCGGTACAGAACTGCCCGCACAGTCTTCTTTTATACTCCACTGGTGCCTCAGTGTTGGGCTCGGGGGGGTCATATCAAACTTAAGAGAGTTTTGTTGGACTTAAAAGCCCTTTCAGCACTGTAGGTATTTCCTAACAGTCAGAAAAGCTTTAATGTAAATATGTACACTGTGAATAGGAAGTATAAATAATCTGTTGTGTTCAAATTTTTGTTTACTTTTTTACTTAACAAGCACAATTCTTTTTTTTACTCAACAAGCACCAGCATCAACATTATGATCGGGTAACCTGTGACCTTATGGGGACGTTTCACTATAGCGCACTGCAGCTGGTATGCCTGTCAGTCATATTTAAGGGAGGAATGCTGTAGATCATCAGAGCCATTGATTTAAAAAAACTAAAAACAACGTTGACCTTCAGTGTTCTAACCCTGTTACATATCAGTGCATCATCCATTAAAACATTTTAAACCTTTTATTTTGTTTGTGCTCGTCGCTTTTTTTTACATTAATAACCTAAAAAATGTGTCTGCAAATGTATTCGGCCGTGTCAGCCGATAACATTATAATCATGGTAATGAGCAAAATGAAAGTTATTTTCTTGTGTTCACTCGTCATTCATAGCTCTATGTCCTCTGTTGATCCCTTACTCTGGAAATTAGCAAGCATTAAATAATCATGATAAAAACATTTCATCAAAGTTAATATGAACAGCTGGTAAAATACACAAAGTGTCAATATTCATTGATTGTTTTGGGTATAACTTTATTTCTTCTTACGGCATTTAGAGTAACAATCTAGATGTGATGATAAAGGCTTCAAGAGTCTGGAAAGTTCTGGTTGAGGAACCTTAAAAGTGCTTGAATTTTACTCTTAAAAAGCTGTATGAGCCCTGTATTAAATGCCCTAAATATGCACATGTGTACAAAATGTGCAAAAACATGGACAAAAGCTTATTCACTGCACTATTAGTACTTTGTTTCGTTCTCAAAATGAATGAAAGGATACAGAATTGAATCCAAATTGGTCTTCGTAAACGAACGAGAACGAACCTGTTGATAGAATCAAGGCTTTTTAAAAGGTAACACTCGGAATGAAAAAGCTCTTACGCTCCTCACCACAAAACAATGTGCATGTTCTATTTCCATTCATCTTATGATTATGTAAAGTTACACTGGTTCTCCAATACAAGTAACATTATTATTTAATTTCATCTCCTCATGTCTCTGCAGGCTTGTTGGAGAAAGCGTCTTGTTTCAGTCTGTCAGTCTCTCCACCTGCATGTGTGTCAGGCAGGGTTGGCATGTCTGCATCTGCAGCCCTCCCTGTAGTATTGTTATTATAATGTCTCTGCTCCAGACCCCACAGAGCACGCTCAGGTTGGCACAGACCATGGGAACTGCCCCCAAGGGGGATCACAGGCTCTGAGATTATGGATGAGCGAGGAGGGGTGATGATGTTCCACCTGCAATTGCAGCCTGTTGGCTAATTCCTTAGCCCACTTCTCCTTCTCATCACTCTCTAAAACCAACATGCCATCGCTGACGCCTCAAGGGCTTGGTTTTTCGTAACATGAGAAACTGAGCGTTTGCTTGCAATTGTCCCGTTTTTATAGCTGGTGGAAGATACCCGGTGAAATGTGTGTAACCTGAGGCCCCTGTTGTGTGTACAGAGCGGCCTATCCTGCCGGTTGCCTGGTGATCCGTCTCAGCTCCAGCTATGGGGAGGACAATAGTTCTGCTGTTGCCTAATCTCAGCTCCTATCTCCTGTCAAGCCTGCTGTTGTGTCTAATAGCCTGGTGGGTTGGCTTTGTGTCATACAGTAACTTACAGTAGGTTTTTTTCATTCTGGGCTACAGTTCTCTCTTCTATTAACAACAAACCAGGAACAATGTCATTTAAATCACCAGTGTTCAGTCAACATAAAAATGTGTATTTTTATACTGATGGATTGTTGTATACTTTCATGTAATTCTAAAAACAATACTGGCAGTACAAACAGAAATGTTTATTCCATATATTATAGATACAAATTTGTTGAAATTTGAATTAGATCTATTACAGCCTGTAAATAGTTAAAGTCAAATAATTTAGGATAAAATAATAGAAAGAAAATAAAACAAACAACTCCCAACAAGAATATACAGTAATGCAATTTAGCAGGAAGCAAGTTCTACAGACCAAAAGGTTGTAGGCTGGGCTACGGTTATTATCATTTCATATTTTAACACACGTTGGTTGCCCAATATATCTTCAGGGTTCACCTGTATACATACATGAGTCATTTCTTTTTCTTACTGTTCAGCTCTCTTCAGTTCAGAGTTCAGCCTGTTGATTACACCTTGATGAATGATGGACGAAGTCAGTCCCCCTACCATCACGTTAGTCATCGGGCCCAGGGGGAAGGAAACCAGCCCGGGACCCAGTCTCCATTACGCTAAGGAGCAGCCCAACAGAGATGAAGGGGTTGTCTGTTGTTTTTTTACTGACAGGATGTGGCGTAACCTGTCAGATCAGCTAGGTCGCGCTGTACACTTCAGGCCTGGGTGCAGCCTGCTGTCCACAGTTTAGCGGTCACAATAGTGAACATGGTGATGAAAAAAGTGAACAGGAGTTTAATTGAAAGGGGACATGTCATGCATGGTTTCATGGTTCATACATGTACTTTGGTATTCTACCATAACATGTTTACATGCTTTAATGTTCAACAAACATATTTTGTTCTCATACTGTCTGAATATATACTATTCATGACTTTTGTACATTTTATCAGTATAAAATAAATGTAATAAATGGTTTATTTAACATGTTCTTATTAAAGTAAAGTGGGTTAAATGAAGGTGTCACCAGGATTTCAATACTTCTTCCATCACTGTCCACATAATCTTATAAGGGCTGAGCAGTAATGCGATGGATGATTAAATTTGATTAATCTAAATTACTTCAGCAGTGGCAACCTAATTAACTAAATGACCTTTAGAGTGGTATTCGATATGACAAATCTATCTACGCACAACATTAGATGCATCGTGAAAATATACAATACTATGGTATGATGCAGCTAAAAGGAATTTGTGTTATCACAGTTTATTATTAATTGTTATTAATTGTCTCTAAGATTGCAAGACTTCCTTCTTGTCAGGCGTGGTGTCTCGTTGCTCCTTTGTTTGAGTATGATAGGGACTTTTCAGTTTGTCTGAGTCACACTGCTCCGACGGACCAATAACAAAGCCCTCATGAACACGCTGTAGTGATGCAAGGCCCTTATCAATAAAAAGGTGGGTCAGTGGCTGTAATTTCTAAAAAGGGAAAACAAATCTAAGTATATCTTTCAGAGTAAAAAATCTTTGATTTATTCTTTCGTTTCCTCCACGCACACATTCGATTTCAGTTGCCGTTGGAAACAGAAGCAGCAGCCAATAGTAACGACATCTGTTCTACACTTTGTGATTGGTTGCTGGGAGAAAATAGCTCGTACAGGTTGCTCTGGGCTGTTTTTCTCCCCACTCTTCTTCTTCTTTTATTTTTCCTCTCCCCTTATTTTAACCTCGCAGAACTTGCTGAACAAGATCTGAGGCAAGCTGCAACATGTGGATGCAGCGTCAGGATGAAAAGATGGACGTGGGCGCACTCAGCGCTGATGAATTATAAGATTTATGGTTAACTAAGCAAAGGTTGAATGCGCCATTGAAATGTGGGAAAGTAATTCAATGATTAGCACGAAGAGAGGAAGATAGGGTCACTACAGGTGAATAGGTCAACGTTTTAACTAATTATATAACCCCATGAAATTTCCCCAGTTCATTACTTAGATTAAGAAACTTATTTAACCACACCATGGCCAATTATTACATTGTAACATTTTGTAACAATCACTAAAATGCTGCATTTTACTAGGTGACCTACATTGTTCATCTAATCATGGTAACATGAGGAGCAAAAAGTGGACTCCTGGATAGGTGAAGTCTGAGAACATAATCTCTGTGTGTGGTAAGGTTAAAGTCTACACGGCATCTGTGAAGCTGAAATATCATCACACAGTAACCTGTTGCCACTGTGTCAACACATGTCCCTCTGGGACGTGTCTCGATCTGTTTCCAGATGACATCAGTCTTGGCACCCTTGATTCCAGCTTTGACGTGTTCATAAATACAAATGAAGTCTGATCGGTGGAAGCAGCATGAGGTCATATGATGTTGTTAGCTTATTTGGATGCTAGTGGGGCTTATAGACATGTATTAGCATGAGCTTTACGGGCTAGTTGAGAATGTGTTTGAGAATAATTGAAATTTGGCAGCCTGCTATAGTCAACAGGAGAACTCTGTATTACCGTGTGATCTAGGTAAACAGTGAAGGTAGCTGCACAGCTGGCTGTGCCTTGGCTGCCAAATAAACAAACAAAGTACAGTGCAACGTGAACATGTATCCCCCTTTGGCTGTGTTTCTGCCCTCTGCTCCAGGACATGTTGGAGGCAGATGTGGTGTGCAACATGTAAAGTAACCTGTGGGATGCAGCTTGCGCAACTATTTATCTTCACAGTAAAATTAATGTGCTTGTAACATGGCGAGGTTGGGACAGTGCAGAGCGAGAAGGCTATTTCATCACCTTTTTGGTGGGCTTTTCTTTTTTTTAATAACCAGGTTTATTGTGGGTCTGAGATCATTGTATTGGGTCTTTATTTTCATGCATCTTTTGGTTGTCGTTGTAATGCTGCACTTTGGCCAGTAGATGGCACAAACTCGTTGTAAGCTCAATGTTAGTGAGTCCATATAGAGCATCACCACTGAGTCCCATTCCAGCATTTAACCTCCTTCAATGTGCTTTAACTTAAAGTAAATCAATAACAACAACAACAGTTTATCATGAGCGCTTGTCAATGATTATTTATTGAGGTAATATTCATTCAGAGGAGCCCCAGCTGCTCGTGCATGCAAAAGGAGAGGTGCGGCGTGTTTATTGCATAATGCTGGCAGTCTAGCATACATTAAGATGCAGAGCGGCCTTCTTTGACAATGCCATCTGCTAGATCATCCTGTAATATAGACAACAGCTCATTACACACGCAGGATACACTGAACAGACAGTGTATCCTGCATTCTGAATTAAATGCCACTGACACGTGCATAATGTTTTAGCCTACAGTAGCCTGCCATTGCAGAGGCTGTGGCTGTACAGTTTAAATGATAGTTCCCAGGGCCATGCAGCCATTTAGTAAAACACTGACTGATAAACTGGATGGAGTAAGTGAGATATCAGCACAATCCCTGATTATGTGGAGGCATTTACTTTCAAATTTGTGTCGTGGCCTAATTAGACTACTCAGTTTGTTGTTTGTGATATAAAAAAAAACTTTAAAATAATATTTGGAAAATAAAATAAAAACCGGATTTATTTTTATCATGTGGACCTAGCAGCAGAGTCAGAATAAATTGTTAGTGGATGGATGACAACCTCTAACAATGTTGCAAATGCTGTACTGTTGTGGCTCGCTGTTACTTTTTGAACCAACACATCCTTATACCTAAACGACAGAAAAAGGATCTTTACAGATGACTCCTAAGAAAACATAATATGACTGTTATATTTAACTTTGTAACTACCTGGTAAGTTTAGGCAACAAAACTACTTAGTTATTTTGAGGCAACATGACAAGCTAATCTATTGATTTTTATTCATTTAAATAAATTAGCTTTTCATTCATTTAAAAAACATGAAAACATGTGCACTGTATTTATTCAAAAACATAACAAAATTCAAAGCAAATTCACATTGGATCATATTCTGCAGAATAGATAACTCTAAGTTAACTATGACATATCAAGTGTGTTTGTCAGGCTTGATTAAATACTAATTTATTAATGAATATGCATCATGTACATTTGTAACACAAAAATCCCTTATCATATCAGTTCATATTGTGTATATTCATATATAAAAACAAGTTTAAATTAGTTAAATTACCAAAAACCAATTGACCCAAAATAAATATGCAGATCTCAGGGTCCCCGATAGACAAAGTGAATCACACTGTCATACATGAATGTCTTTTTTTTGTCACTTGAGAGCGGTCTTAGACAAGACTATAGTCTGCATTACTGTCAAGGCTTGTGGATGGAGGAATTTGTGACTATATTTCCCCCAGAGATGTAATGGAGTAGAGGTCCCAAGTATCATAAACTAGAAATAGGAAAGTTTAATAAAAACGTTGTGGTAACATGTTCTCATTTCACTGTAAAAATACAATAAACATTAGTTAATGGTTCGTGGTTTTTATTCTGTGTCATGTACTGTCATTAGCTAGCTGCGTAAGTTAACGTTAGCTAACTAGCGTTTGCTGATACCTGCTAATGTTAGCGACAGCATTTTTGAATTTTGCTAAATAATCTGTGGCGGTCTCCACAGATTCATTGTTCACCTGGCTTCAGTGTCCCACTGCACAGTATTATCTTAATATCTGTAAAATTAATAATTAAATTATGCATGAGTTCGTGTTTTTGTTTTTGTTTTTGTTTTCATTGAGCTGAGGTTTACGTAGATTAACATTAGCACAAAGACTGAAAACAAGCAGCTCACTCATAATTTTATCTTGGTTTAATCTGTACAAAAACCATATGTAAAAAAAATAAGTTGTGGTTTTATAGGGTTTATGCCAGAGTTTTGGCAACAATACGTTTTTTAACATTTTTTTACAACAACATAACACTATTTTGTGAGATTCAGTGCTCCTGTTCCCAGCCGGCGATTGGTTAAGCTAACGAATCAAGCTAAGCGCTAGGTCTTTCTTAATTCTTAAGAATGGTATCAATCTTTTCATCTGACTATTGACAAGCAAGAGTATATATAGGTCTGTCAACCTTTCTGCTGCTCACTGATGATTTATAGATGTCAGAAAATGTGCAGCTTTTAATATTCTCAGGCAAATCTAAGATCTTTGAACAGCGATATGCTGTGTCATGAGTAGGGTTTGGTGTCTTTAAGGAAACATCCCCTGTTTCAAGTATCTTTTTTGCTGTTTGATGTATTTTGATGTTCTATACATCAAGTTGACATTTCCAGCCACTACAGTTCAGTTTTGATATCAGAAAATATTTCAGTACTAACAACCGTAAGTGGTTTTTATTCTGTCTTGTAACATCATCGACTATACCTAGATTAACATTAGCTAACTATCATTGACTGATGGAAGGTAACGTTATCGGTAGCCTTTTTGAATTTTACAGTATAATCTATGGTGGCCTCTTGGTTATATATTTAACCTGGCTTCACTGTCCCACTGTCAGGATCCCTGTCAGACCAGGCACCTCCCATGGCCACACAGCTGCAGCCACTCCAGCCGATTACCTCCTGCAGGCTGACACACCAGACTCAGGTCCCACTAACGCTTTCCCTGGCACTATATAAACTCTGGTCCTGCAGTCTGGGGTTGTCAGGTCGTACCGTCTTTCACCCGCTCCAATCCTGTTGCAGCTTCTGCCTCAAGCGCCTGCCTCCGGTGTCTGTCGGTCCGGGAATCCCCCGTGCCCTCTGTTGTGTTAACGGACTACACACCGCTGCTCTGCCCTCTGTTGTGTTAACGGACTACACACGTCGTCAAGCTGCCAGCTCTCCGGTGTCGAGCCACGGGACATCACGCCGTCAAGCTGCCAGCCCTCCGGTGTTGAGCCACGGGACTCACACCGTCGATCTGCCTACTCTCTGGTGTCGGACCACGGGCTCCACACCTTCCTGTCTTCCTTACTCTGGCTAAATAAAGTCTGTTTCACGTACTCTGTCTCCTGTGGTCTTGCGTTTTGGGTCCTACCAGTGAACTCCCGTGACACCCACATTTTTATCTTAATATTTGTAATATTAATGTTACAATGAAGCAGGAGTTCCTTGTGGTGTATTACAGTAAAGTAAGTAATCATCGGGTCCATTTATTTTGGCGAGGATGAGACCTCTGCAGATAATTTGGTTCCCATTTAAAAACCTCCAGAATGATCATTTATTTTTTGTTAATAATTTTGTTAATACTGCCCACTTTTTGCAACAACAAGTTTCAGCTTGTTCTTTATTACAAGTTTATAATCATTATTTTATATATAAGCAAGGCAATTAAAGAGGAAATAACAGTGTAGGACCTGCAAGTCGGGAGCACCTTTGGGTTATGTTCTTTGCCCGAGGGAACTTTGAACAAAATTAAATTAAATTGTCCAAACATCGGTTTTCTGATTGATGACACTACTGTTAAGCTACTGAAATATATAAGAAAAGATGAGTTCCACTCAATTGCTGGCTGGGATCAGATGTGTAACCATGTGTATGGGCAATATTTAACTCTGCAATAGAGTTAATTTCACGCACTAGATTGGGTTAAATGAAATAACCCAGTGAATGGGTTAAATAGTAAAACCCAGCATCTGGACTGGTAAAAAGTAAGTTGAACATACTTCGCTTCACTTTAAAAAAATGTCTACGAAGTAATTTATTACAAAATAACAATGGCACATTACCCCTAAAGCCATTAACGGTTATTGCTATCGGTCTTTCGCGGGAATTCCCCACATGTGACTTCACGTGAAGGAGAATGAAAACAGAATATCCTGAAGTGGGAAGAGAAGGCTGAAATAAAGGTCTGCCGCCTCATATAATGGATTCAACAACGGGGGGAACACTTTACTATCTTGTATTTATTAGGCAACTATACATAGTTATACCACAAACCCCGAAATATTACCTCATAGGGAAATGTTTTGATGACGCTTTGAAGATGTACCTTGTTTCAACCGTGGGGGTGTATTCATGGGTACTGTTGTCAGAGGTGGTTTATGTAATGAAACGAATGCATTTCATGAAACAATTATATGCATTTCTAGTATATATAATTAATATGTGTTGTTCCTGTTTTACTAAGGGCAGGGTCGTCGATAATTAAACTAATGACGAATAGTTTCACCCCTCAAATGAACGAGTGACTCATTCCGTTGAGAGGGGAGAGAGGTTCCTCCGGATTTACCGTGACGCGCTGGTGTTTGTGTGCTCACCGTGGCGAAGGAGAACCGAGGGGTCCACACACAACAGGGACAGCCGGCCAACACACACTCTTTAAGATAAAGGTGAGTTTTACAAAAGTGGTGTTCTGAAATACTGGTGGCACCGTCATTTTGTTGGATACCTCGCTGTTTAACAACGCCGAATAACGGTCACGAAGCAGCCAGAGCAGAGTTACGTTACTCGGAGGATGCCTGTGTGCTGCTAGCTTCAGTTGTGGTTAGCCTGTGTTTGGTGGACGCTTTAACGTCAACGCGAGACATTCGGGTAACTTTAAACTGTCTCGAGCCGAACCATCATTCCACAGACATTCAGGTATTTAAACTGCTGTCAAGGGGAAAAAATACGTTACGGCGAAGTTAAAATGTGTATGTTAACCCAACGAAGGGAAAAGTTCAGATGAAATCCGACCCCCCCCCCCCCCCTTCCTTATTGCTATCACTGGCTAATCTTGTGAAACAGCGTTGAGTGTCCACCAATATAACGCTAGCTATATCTGGTCAGTATCACAGCTTATTAACTTGAATGTCTTGGACTTGTGTCACTGGTATATAGTAGATAGGTATAAATAACACTCAGAACAGCTAAAAAACTCTTGTCAAACGTTGTTTCGCTTCTCATAAACATCGGACAAGCTCTCAAAATGACTCCGTGATAACCAGCGCTCATGATCTGCAGCACCATAACATTATTATCTGTGGCATGTCACAAGACATGGTGTTTTGTTTTTCAAACCTAGTTGCACATACAGATATCTGTGTTTGAAATCAATATGTCTGCCTTTTTATTTGCTTCTCATTTTGTGGCAAAGCTTTGTCCTCATAGCTGTCATGGTGAAATTAATTTCCACCAAATAATGTCAGCAACCTCGAATACCCTTTTTCTTATGTGGTTGGAAAAGTAGGACAAGTTGAATTTCCAAGAGAAACATCAGACTTACTAAAGTCCCTTGTTTCTCAAATGCAATTAAAAGCATGCTAGATACAATACACTATACAGTGATGCATATTCTGGTTAGTGGTTGCACAAATGAACGATACAGATACCGCTCTATGGTCTCTAGCTGATATCTGATATTGCAACACTGACACCAATATTACTAAATGTTTTGTGGGGAAAGCTACACCGGTGCAGATGTTTATCTTTCATCTAATCTTTAGCTTGCTGCTGCTTTTTGACAGCTTGTGGGTGTTGTGCAGCTGACCAGATGTGTTTCCCAAGGGTAATTTGTTAACGACATGGTAATGACATCCGATTGTGTTTATTACCATGGGATCCATTATTAGCATGTTGGCACAGCGAATAGAGAGAGCTTTTGTGGTAATGTATCAATAACATCACTGACTAAAAACATTTGAAAAAGGACACAGCCTCTTTTACTGTGTTCCGTACCAAAAATAGTGTGCCATCCAAAAAATATCCCCCCCCACTGACAGGACCAAAAAAATGCATTTTTAATAAGTTTATTTGAAAATGTGACCTAATTAGCAAAGAAAAGGGCCGGTATTCAGCCATGTGCTCACTTTTGCTTCTCCCTGAAGCACAATGGATGAAGAGGAGCAGTTTGTGAACATCGATCTGAACGATGACAATATCTGCAGTGTCTGCAAGCTAGAGACGGAGACGGGGACCATGTCTTTCTGCCATGTCTGCTTTGAGCTCAGCATTGAAGGTAAGACGACTGCTCGTTTGCTCACCAGAATGAAGAGCAATCAAAGAGATGTAAAGGCCCTCTACACATACAGCTGATACATTTGTGCTAGCTAATGTTTCAAAGCAACCTGCAGCTTACAGTATGCAGTGAAGCTCTGTAATGATTTTTTTGTTACCACAGTGTGACCTCTCCAACTCTTGAAAAGCCCACACACCCTCACTCAATGTGTCTGATGGGATTCAGCTTTGATATTCATCTTCACTTCCAGTTTCCCTGGCTGGATCCATATAGAGACAGTCTTATGTCGGTCTTAGCTGCCAAGAGTCTCCAGCATTTGGATCGCACAACAAATCACTTTTGCGGAAACATCCAGATTCTTTTTGATCTCTGTTCCCATCACAGCAAGTATGCACTTGCGCCAAGAGCATACTTGCTGCCTTTCAGATGTGTTGATGTGCCGTATGATGGTCGTCCACAAACGCTTCTTTTATCCTCTCCAGGAACAACATATAAGATATGTGCGGGGTAATGGGCCTGCAGGACCAAAGCCCTCTCTAAAATAGACCACTGTGATTCCCCCGTTTGATGTGCCACTCAAACTCAAGAGCATGTGTTTGAAGTTTTTTCATCTCTCAATTAATGAGTGGCCTATTTGAAGAAGAATGACAAATCAGAAGGGATTAGATATGCCTCTCATTGGGCACTCGTCTCATAGATCCACAAAGACTCTGAAAGCAGTGTGTGCGTGTTTATGTCTGCACAGTTTGATGATTGTGTGTGACTTGTACAACGGTGCAATATAGCTGACTAAGAGCTCCCAGAGTGGTATATCATTCTGTTGACAGCGGGTGAAAATGCATATGCACAAAAGATTTATAGGTCTCGTCTGTTGTGGTGTAAAGGAACTGAGCGTGGGGGTGTTGATTAATCGCTTTGCTCTTTGTGTGCCGTGAAAGAGTCTTCAGTCTTCAGAGTCAAGCATTGTTAGAACAATACTTAACTTAAGTTGTGTCAGTAAATTTCTTGCAAACTAATTAATCCTCATTCAGCAGAAATGTAATCTAAATATGGTAGAAGGACACAGCCTGGGTTTGCTGGCATGTACAGTACATACAGTAATGTCAAAAGCCTAAATAACAGACTTTGTACTTATTGAAAACAATCGATTGATCTGTGTAATATGTAGCACGTAGTACTACTTACTTTCATGTGTTTTGCCGGTGCAGCAGCTGATTTCTATGCATACTGTTGCATGTTAGAAAACTAAATACAACTTTCAGGGTCACCTTTTATATTTGTCCTTCGTAGCTCACTAGCATCGAATCCAGACACATGGGTCACAGACTGCCTTTAAAGGGATTTAACAAATGTGGTTATTTATCTGTTGACATTCAACACGGTAGGGGTTTCTTGTCTGGCTCAGTTTGGTCGTCCTTGTTTGCTCCATTTAATGTTTCAGCCAGGATGCTCTGTTCAGGTAGGAACATGTCAGCTGGTGGGGCGTTGATGTGAGCGTCTCCTCTGTTTCATTGTGTAGATAAAACTGGGGCACCCTGGATGCTGGTTGTGTCGGACAAGACATCTGGGGGTTCTGATGTAGCTTGTGTGTGTCTACGAAGTGGCTGTTATATAACTAACTATTGGGGGGGGGGTTGCAGACGAGCACATGTTCCTGATGCAGCCGAGCGTTTCTTTGGGGGGGGGGGCTTGCCAAACTGGATGCGGCTACTTCAGGCACGGCTGATTGGAAACTAAAGCCAAGCTGTGTGGCCGCCGACTACTCATGTAGACTTAATATCCACGGTTCATTCCTCCTGTGCCGTCCTTCGTTAAAGTACAAGAGAACAAAAGTCCGCACAGAAACGTGTGAAGAGGAGAGAATGTTCTTCATCTCTCAGGCACACAAACAGTCCCTCCCAGTGCCTCTCCGTTCCAAACCATATCATGCTATCTCAAGGTTGAATTACTGCTGCTGAATATTCATTGCCATCTTGCTATATGCTGGTTTTGAATATTTAGTAGAAGCAATAGAAGCAGAATTGCTTCTCGTTGTTTTAGTTTTTTTTAAGAACAATCTCTCTACAGTGCTCTAGCTTCTCATTGATTTTGTACAAAAGGCAGCGTCTTCTAGACCAGAGGATTCATAGCAGTCAGAACTATAGCTTACTGAAAATACTTCTAGATCTGTTGTAAGGTTGCTTGTAAAGAGAAACAAGGGGACATGCAATGAACAGGATTTCTTTAAGTGATCCGAGTGTATTTGCTTTCATTTATTATAAGGATGTTGTTATAACCAATGAGGGCAGCGGTAGCAGAAACAACTGCTTTCATAGGTTGTCTAGTACTCGTCATGATGTGTTGGAACATCCCTTTTAAAGTCTAAAATGTTCTTTTTAAATAGCTCTTTTGAACACCTGGCCACTGCAATGGTGTACCTTTGTCACAGCAGAGAGCAGGCCCTTTATGAGTTAACTGCTGACACTTAAGCATTCATTTCCACCCACAACCGCCCTGAGTTCTGCTCGGAGGCTTGCATGACACGGGGATGTTCAGACTTGTCTGTGTAACCGTCAGCTGCCGACGCACACAGAATTCACAGTTGAAGTTCGGCAGCACTGTACATGAACTTGAACACAAACAAGAGCCGCTAAAGACGAAGCGATCTTTCATCTCCGTATTCCAAGAGATGAATGAGCTTCATGTTGACAGAGTTGCTTATCAGCAAGGCTTGAGCCCACAGTACCACCAGATGCAGAAGTATGTGAAGGCTAAAAATTGTCCAGGAAGTGCAGCCTTTGTTGAAGTTCCAAGTGGTTGTTTCCTGAGGAAACTGCTTTGGCCTGTGTGCGCACTGATTCCATCAAAAAATACAGAGTAGAAACTGTGTCTTTTTATGTATTGCTCAACCTCTGCCTAACTGGGCTTTTCTTACTTTCAGACCTTTCTTTTGTTTCTGCTTGCTGCACCATCTGAGCTTTGTGCTACACATGGCTACACAGCCTTGAGCATCAACAGTGTGCAGCAGAGAACAAGAGCCAGTTCAACCAGTCTGCAGTCATTGGTAATCTTCTGTGTTGCTGTTTCAACCTGAAAGCATTTGTGTATTTCGGAGGACGTTTCCTGATTATGGCTTCTTTATGACTGCTCAAACACCAACCTCCATAATGCCTGTGACACCAACAAATGATAAGATAGTGGCTCTGTCAGGTAGCCAAGAAAGGCAGACCTCCCTCCAGCCAAGGCAGTAATAGTTTAGAAGATTGTGCAATGTATTTAATTTTTTATAAATAGATATGTCATTCAAATGGGAGAAGTTTACAGTCAAAACACCGTTATTCAAACCACCCAAAATGGCCAAATGTGGTATCATTAACTGTAATATTCATCAGACTTTGCTGTTTGGATCTGATTGCTCATTGCAGCATACTTCAAACCAGACGGGCCTTTTTTGAACTGTCCTTATTGGATGTGACGAGCTGTGTGCTGTGTAAACACCTGAGAGATCCCTCCAGCCTCTCACCCACAGTCTTCTGGTCTTCTCTGGCTTCTCGTCAGACAAGATGTCTGCTGAGCTGCCAGGTTCAGCTAAAGCCCAGCACATCATCTGCTTACATAACGCAGACAGAATTGTATTTGCCGAGGCCTGGCAGTGCGATTTCCAGCTGTGTTTGGAGTGAGGAAAAAAATAGCAAATTCCAGCTGGGAGAGACTGGAATGATGCAGTCGGTGCTGATTCTGGTTGCTGCTCGCTCTACAGGGGCTATTGTTGCTCCTCTAAACAGCTCATTCATTGTGGATGAACTCTTCAACCTGGGGTGTAGAGAGGTCTAATGATGTCGCTGCCTGTGGCAGCTGTGTGCTTGAACTCAGTCAGGGTCCAGAGATGAAACCGCTGCATGGCACCGCCCTCTAACTTAGTACTATAAGGCTGTATTTATAATGGGCTGCTTTCAATGTGACTCTATATCATTTGTTTGAATAAATTGCCCCTTTTTTTCCAAAGTTGATTCTCTTCATTAGCCCCGCAACTCTGGAATAATGGCCTCCCTCACCACAGGTTATGAATCTCTAAAATAACTCGCACAGTCTAACCCACCCAATGTGACAACAATGTGAGCAACCACCTCTATGAAGACAGTTCTCCTCTGTCACCTTGGAGTGATGCACATTGTGGATGTGAGTGTCAGAGTGTTGTTGGTAGAAAGAAGCAGTTGACCGATGGTTTGCAGTAAACTGACCTCTGATAGTGGGTGGTTGTAGATTATTTTTCTGCTAATTTCTATATTATTAGAGCTTTTGCATCATTTTAACAGCCTTGAACTCTTAATACTAGGTGTCATGCAAATGTATTTGCTATTTCTCTAATTCGTCAGTGTTTCTTCGCAACAATGTCTTCACAACTCAGATTTGAGATTTGACTTCAAAAACGTACAGTTTACGTCGTTCTACCCAACAAGGAATACTTGTCACTGACTGTACACACCACACCATCGGAAGGTAGCAGCCAGTACAAGTTCATAATGTGCTGTACAGAATATTATATCATATAAAACACATCATTCTGTCTGAATAGAAATACTGTTAAAATGAATTTTCTTCCCAAAAGTTGTTCGTAAGTGCTGGGATGTTTTACTTGCATCATCAAAGATGATTGCTATTTAGAAATACTAATTATGCTATGATGGGATTAGCCTGATTTATTATAATTAAATTTCCAGTCATCAGTCAGATCTCGTTATGCTATGCTTAGTCTGTCATTTTATAATGCTTAATTTTTGCTAATATGGGAATATCCTTTTCTACTGATTTGGTGAATCAAAGGAGAGTATTTGCATAGATCGCTCTGTAACTACAGTGTTTATATCACATATCAAATATACACAAGATCATTTGTGATCACAATCATTTATAGTGTGCAGTGTTTCTCAATCCAGCTGCTCATACCAATTATAACTCACTATCAACGTCACTTTGTGTTTGAGAAATGATTACAAAACTTTGTCTCCAGAGTTTATATTCTGCGCGTCTCTCTCTCCACCCAAATTACCTTCAACCAAATTTGGCATTTTCTTTACATTTTTTGTGCAAATTGTGGAATTCATATATGAGCAATCCAAGCAGTTGATTGACGGATGTCTACTCCTGGTTTGTTTACGGTCACATAGGACTTTTTGTTTAGTAGTAACACTAGTCTGTCATTCATTGCACTCTGTGCAGTTCATGGCAGCTACTCTGTACTGTTGTTTAAGGTCTGTGGGGGTTAACGGGTGGTTTGAGTTCAGTGTTGGTCATGTGACCTCCATGTTGGTGTGTACGTTGGCTCGTGCAGCTGCTGATTCTTCTAAACCGTGCCATGCAGCTGTGTTTGACACCTTATCACCCCTGTCCCACATGTCCCAACACTGTTTGTTCATCTCCTCTTAAGTGTGTCAAGGCTCAACACAGACTGAGCACAAACAACTACAGGCAGTGGAATGTTAGGCACAGATCTCTTTCCATGACGGCAACCACAAGACTATGGAGTGGAGGTCTGATTTCAATTTGGGCAGAAGTGCAGCCACTAAATGAAGAGCAGGGCTAGATCAACAAAGGGATGTCATCTCTCTTCAGCCTGAGGATTAGTACGCCGTCCTGATGCCAGCGTTCCCTTGGTTACTTTACTGTTGAGAATTATCCAATGTAACAGGCATCGGTCTTCCTGGTGCTGCTCCACCACTTTCTCGACTTTTCCACACCAACTTCGTATGACTAAAATACAACTAAATATGAATTGGCAATTAGGGCTGTTGCTTCTTAGTCGATAAATCAACTTTGATTGTTTTCTTTGGTTGATTCGTCATTTTTTTTATGCTTTTTTTCGTGCTGAATGACTTATTTCCCAGAAATGTATTAACACATCTGTGGTAAACACAAGATTTAAAGTGGTGCTTCTGTGTGAGTCTTTGTGGAGAAACAGAAACAGTTTTACAGATCGGTCGATTAAATCAACTAATCGTTAAGTTGACAAAACCGTAAAATTCCGCATTATTCAACTAACAATTTCTTTGTTGAGAACAGCCTTATGAAATATAACCCTTCACTTAATTTGTAAATAAGACATAGTCGAAGACAATCTCTGTTAAATCTCTGACTTTTGTAGTTTTAACATTGTTTCCTCTTCAGATCAAGAGAATTACTTCTTGCTTTAAATAACCGGGACCACTTGATTTCTGACTTGATCTGATTCTAGTGGTTTGCTCTGTGGAACAACTTATTAACAAGTGAAAACGATGAATAACGACAGCAGATTTATATTTTACATCAGACCTAAGCTGGTGTCTGTGCTTTGTGTCTGTCAGTTGGTTCACTGACTGAGAGACGAACCTTGACTCATTCCGTACAACAGGGCAGGAAACAACAAGCCCATTGGTCCTCAGTGTGCTTAATGTCTCTAACTGTCACAGCCGAACAATGTTGATTCACCTCCAGAGAATAGTCTGTGTGTGTGTGTGTGTGTGTGGACGCGCTTATGTGTGCAGCCATGAAAGACAGTAGTGCTAAGCTGCTTAGCTGGAGTGAGGTCTTTGGCTGGTGGTGCACTGGCCTGGTTGTTGGCCAATGATTTCCCTGCTGGGGAAGTGGTAGTCAGTGTGTGTTTGTTGTAGTCCAAAGACTGAGACTGATCGGATTATACCTGTTTGATAGACAGAAAGCTCCTACAGCTCTTGGCAAAACGTGTGGAGATTCATTGGCATTCTCACACAGGAAACTCAGACCTGATGCTGTATACTGCAGGTCCCTCACAAGACTACTCTATCGTAAAGGTCTGTCTTTTTAGACACTCAGGTCACAACACAGTTATGCAGAAGCTTAGAATAGAGCTCTATGCACACAGTTGTGTAATGGTCTCGAACCGTCCTATGTCCTGAGGCACATAATGTATGCTGACTGTCCCCCATTAGATGTGGACTGTTTGTTTTGATCCTGCAGGCATACAGAACGCTTTCAAAAGACACACAAGGAAAGGACAGGGGACAGAGATATTATATTCGTAACTTCAAGCAAGGCCCTGCAGACCAGACACACGAGGGCTCTGTATGTGACTATTTTACTGTGGCCATGAGGTGTTAGTAATGTCCTGTGGTTTCCTGGGCTCATCTGTCTAAAGAGTCAAGAGAGGCATGTGAGGAAAACCTGCCCAAGTGAGCTGTTAAATCTATGGACTAACGGTGACTAATCGCCAACGCGGTTCGTCTGTCTGTAGGCTGTGAGAAGAAGGCCATCACACAAACGCCTCGGTTTAGCCTCACTTGCACACACACAGTTTTCACTCTCGTTCTCTTTCACCTACAGCTTCTCTTTGTTTGTTTCATTTTGATCCACTTGCTGGCTAATTTCCTCTGTGTGTGCTAAAATAGTTACAGTGTGGCCTATTTTGACAGGATGCAGGAAGCATTACTTTTCCCCCTGTAGAGGTACTTCCAAGGAATGTAGTTTTAAGTGGCAAAGGAAGTGTGGCGGAGTGCAGGAGCTTGTCAAGCTATGCAAGGACAATAACCACCAAAGATCACAAATGCAACCTAAACAAGTTGACCGTATCTACGCCAGCAATTTACTTAAGTTACTAAAAGCACACCACAAGCATTTGGCCGAAAGTCACCAGTTAACACGGTCACTTGTTAAACTAAAACACCAACCGAATATACGACAAAAACAGATTAAGCTTCAATGAAAACGCTGCTTCATGTGGACAGACGGTACACATTTTAAAATATGCTTCATGTGTTTGCAGTGAGACTGGGTCAGTGTATTATCCCTGCTATCTCAACGCTCCGCTGGCTAATCCACCACACATTAAGCAGCTTTCACAGAGAGATCGCGACAGGTCAATCTGCCACTTCTACTCGCTTTCATACTGGTTTACTTTCATTTATTGGGCGAGTAATGCATTTCTCAATAACTGTTGAGCTCTCTGCTTTATTTATATGCTTTTTGTATGTGTTAGGAACCCTGCCTCTTGGAGTTCACTGTATTGTTGCACTCATAACTGTGACAGTTGTTAGTGTGGCTGTATCCTTTAAACGTGTTGTGCCTGTTGACTCATTGCTTCATGTCTGTGTGAATGCAGGTGTTTCCTCTGCTACCTTATTGCACTCAAAGTCCCTGCGAGGCCACAGAGACTGCTTTGAGAAATGCCACCTCATCGCCAACCAGAAGCTGTCGCGTTCCAAGGTCTCCCGAAGTGCCTACGAGGGCATGAAGCTGGCCTTCAGCCAGAAACTGAACCGCATCATCCAGTATGCCCAGAACAAAGACTCTGTCTCCTCCATCGGCCCCGGCAGACGAGGGGCCAAGCTCCTTTGTTACAGCCAGCAGGGTGACCGCAAGCTGCTGCCCCAGTCGGACGCCCAGGTGCCCCGCTACACGCCGTGCTGGGACGTGGGCAAAGCAACGGGGCTGCCCGACTACGCCATGGGGATGTTGGAGTGCCGCACAGTGGAGGAGTTGGGACTGCTGCAGGAGGCGCAATCTGACGTCTGGTCCAGTGACGGCAGGAACGGCCGACACAGTCGGAACCAAGGAGGAGGACAAACGCAGCACAGACACCAGGGCGGTCGCAGAGATGAACGTGAGCACGTTTAAGATTTGACTTTTTTTGAGCTTTTAATCAGTGTGTCGGTGAGTAGTGGAAGGTTTGATTGTTTAGTTTTGTCTTTTAAAGGAAGGATAGTGTTGACAATATGTCGCTGCATTCTCTGCCTCTCTTCTCTCCGTCTTAACTTTCAGTGTGACCTCTGCGATCTCTTTCACTTGTAAGTTCAAAGGCAGCAGACAAAACAGTAGCACAGGAACAGAAAACACCTTCTTACTTGGTCTGACCCTCATCGCCCTCTTTGCTGTGATCCCTCCAGAGAAGGAATTAATTCTCCCATAACCTCCAGACACTGTATGTCCTTGGCTTTCTGGTGTCTCGTCACCACTATAGCTGCTTATGACTACAGACTGCAGGAATGTGAGCGAGCCGTGTGCAGTTATGGGTCCCTTATTAACATTCTGTGCTTTAAAATGAAAGATGACAGGCATTCCACGGGTACACGTTTTATGTGTGTGTCTATCGCTACATGAGCTGGGCGACGCTTCTAATCTGAATATCATGCCGTTGGACAGGAAACTAATTAACCACTTCCTGCATTCTGGTGAATCTTTATGCACCAACGTATGGTGGTAAATGTCATTATTTATGGAACCTATTCACCTCACTGATGCATGAATTCCTCTTAATTAGTCTAGAAACCTCTGGACTTTAGTAGCACATATGTGTTGCGGGAAGATTTCTGCACACATTCAAAACATATCCCACAGATCTGTGTTCTCTGAGATTTTAAACCCTTCCCTTCTGTACATTTAAAAGGATGGAAGGTCATCACTCAGCAACTTGAAACTAATAATATAAATGTGTCTGCTCCTCTCCTGAAACCTTTGCTCTCACACTCTTTGATCAAATCTGTTTGTTTTGTCTTCTAGTGACTAAAATGAGTGTCGATGACCTCCATCAGCTGAACAACCAGCTGCTGATGCAGGTTCAAAGTAAGTGTTGTTGTTTTTTACTGGCATTCTGTGATAAGTTGTGCACAACCTTTGACCTAAAGTTCCACCATTTGAATCATCAATATTCTAAACGCGACATTCTCACTCCGTTGTGCTCATCTGTAATACATCCCCATGTTACATTCTTGGTGCCCTCAGGAAAAAGCTGTGTGAGTAGAAATAGATGTTGTTACTCAGAGCATTCGCAGACTCAATAAGCCTGGGGCTACTATAGACTGCAAGGCTTCTACTCAACACATCAGCTCCTGCCATGTGACCAGCAGTGTTGAATTGGTCACTGTTTAGTGCTCGCTCATGTCCGTTCACTCCATTCTTCGTCACTTACCTATTGTTTGCTTGTGTTTTTGTGTGGCGGTATCTTAAGCAGATGCGTTTTCTGTCCTGTTGTCTGTGCTCTTTGCCCCCTCAGTAATCACTGTTATTGGTTTTCTTTATCTGTGTGTGAATGAAGCCACTGATTCTCTCTCTCTCTCTCAACAGAGGTGTTCGAGGAGCTCACTGAGGCCGTGCAGGAGAAAGACTCGTTGGCGTCGGAGCTGCACGTGCGTCACATCGCCATCGAGCAGCTCTTTAAGAACTGCGCCAAGCTGCCCTGGCTGCACATCAGCAGGGCCGGGGTCAAGGACAGCAGCAGCACCACCGGCCCCGTGGAGTGAGGCGCGAGCTGGCGGCTTCCGTCTCCTCTGGTGGGAGGACACTGATAAACACTTCAAAGTCCGGGCTGAAGAAAAGCCTTTGTGTACATTGAGTGACTTCTACGACACCGCGGTGACGTCAGGTCGTCGGACCTGTTTTAGAGCAGCATTAAGGGCTGGGCTGACTCGGCCTCCGCTATCGTCGCTGCAGTGATGTTGCAAGGATTAATGGTGGCCGGGTCTGGCATGTGACCTGAATTCAACCCATCTCATGTAGCCACGATGCATGTTAATACCAGGTGGAACGGGGAGTCAGGGTTTCCTGGCCCCGGTACACGGTGAGGACATTTTACAAGATGTTCCTTAAAAAAACAATCAGTTTATCTGCATAATTTAACAGAAATGATTGCTGTTGGTTTTATTTTCTTTTGTTTAGTTTGCTGTCAAACATTTCAGTTTTTCATTGTCTGGACGTGGATATTCAAATACTGCTTAATACTCGATATTATACTCGACTGTCATATTCAAACCAACAGGCACTGCTAGGAGTGTTTGGTTACTGTTCCACTGTCAAGTATGAACGAGGTTTGAGCTTTTTCTTGCAGCTCTGACAACGGCTTGAAGCAGGAGTTTTTAACTTGCCTTCAACCTGCCCGATCTTGACTTGATAGTTTATGAGAACGGCGGCGATCAGAAAGATTGAACAGTAAAAGACACTCTAACACATTGAAGACGGATTACGTCTAATCCGGAGAAGAGCACAGGTAAGTGCAAGACAACACCCAAAAGTCCTCTAGAGCACCTCCGCAACAAAGATCCATCACAAGTGTGAAAGTCAGCAGGGCTGTACGAGCTGTGAGGGGGATGATGACTACTTTAGGAGTGCCCATGAAATAACAAGCAGCAGTTACAGTGATAAAGTGATAGCTATTTAGTTTTTAATTCAGCCTTTGGTTTTATAGTAACTATCATTGCTGGTGAGATTTACTTGATATTTAGCACAGAGCTGTCTCGCTATCAAGCACAAGTCCTGTGTATGGCTACACACTGAATGAGGAAGAAGAACGGTTCAGATACTGAAAGAGAAATCCAGCTGCCAAACCAAAGTCTGTATTCGTTCCATTTCAAATGTGAACTGAAACCATGTGACTTCTATTAGCAGAGGAAGATGCAATACCAAACTGATTCAAATATATGTGGCTTGGTGATTTACATCACTGTGTAATTATGAACCATAGATATTTTTTGTTTCTCTAAAGGTGTTGATGTGGAAATGATTTGTTCTCATGTTACACATGGCGTATATGTTTTATAATGAGTTGTATTTATCTTCCGTGTGCAGTGTTAGCTGTTTCCCTCTCTGTGTGTTGACGTGTGAGAGCCCAGTCGATGTCACAGCAATACATGGAGGTCCCTGATTTTAGAAGGAAAGGAGACAAAGCAGGCGATGGTATTACCAGTCGGTGTGTTATAGCCTGCAGCTTTGGTTAACTTATCATTCAGGAACCCTATGCTAGAAAGACACAAATGAAACAGAAGCCTTATCAAATAGCAAATATGTAAAAGAATATTGGTTATCTGAGACGAGGTCTCGGAGCCGCTGGAGTGTAATAAGCTGGGGAAAGACTAGGTTATATTGTGATTGATGTTTAAAATAACTGGCCATCTCTTTTGCTCTCTCTTTGTAAGAGATTTCATGTATTCGACCCCTTTTCAGGGATCAAAGTTTGAGCTCCATTTTAATCTTTTATCTTGCTTTCCTTTGTATAACTGTATTCAGTGAGCTTGAGTCTATTCAGTATTCAGTTGTATGTTGCTGTTTTTTTATTTTATCTTTAAAATATGAATGCATTGTCTGTTTGTATACTGCGGACACATGCCCGGGCCTGTGCCTCCGCTCAGCAGAACATCAAGATGGATCCGCTTGTGTCATCATCTTTTCCTGGAGATGTGAGCGTACCGGCTGCTCCTTCCTTTAGATTGGACTCTGCATTCGTTTGTTTTCTAATGTAAGGCTGCATTTGTGTTGTGTGAGGATTATATTTATTGTGTGAGTGTGTGTGTTCATGGACCTTACACATGCTGTGTGATTTGTGCTTTAGTGACAGTTTGTTTTTTTTGTAAAATATTTCAATAAAACTATTTTTACTACACAATGGGACATGCTTGAATTTTGACTGATTGTGGCCACTTCTGCTGGGATAAGAAAGATGGTGTGATTTGATATTCACGGTATTAAAAATGCATGTCACAGACTCTAAATGTCTTTCTCTCAAAAAACAATCTAACAGCAGCTCCTCAGAAGCAACAGGTTTGGTTTTTACTGGCTTTGTAAACTGTAGTGAAATGTTGGCCTCGTGCACAGTCCAGCATTACATTAACACACATTCTTTGCACTTTGGACATTTGCACATTTCCCGGTAAATATTTGTGCACATTCCTGCACAGAGCTGTACAGATCTTCCACTTAAAAGAAAGACATTTTAATATATTTTTTCATATTTTCTATTGTAAATTGTTCTATATTATGCTGCGTCTCTTGACTTTTGCTCTGCGGTTGTTGTTGTGCACCAAATCACCAAGACAAATGACTTGTATGTTCAAACCTACTCGGCAATAAATGCTGTTTCTGATTCTGATGAACACTGATTCCATTGGCAACAGAGACAACGCAAAACATGAGTGCAGACGCTGAATAAGTGCTGACTCCAGCATATTTTCACCTGATTATGACCCAGTTGTGGACTTCTTGGATTTTGAAACAGACTGCTGTAGACGGTTCAGTGTGCATTGTGTGGAGGTTTGGCGCCCTCTTGTGGACAAAGGCTGTTTATAAATGAGCCTGCTTATTGTAATGAGTGTTATTTCCGGGAAACACGCACTCAGTGGTGTGTGGTTAATCTTCTCTAGGATCAAATAGCCTGAAGCATATGACTTTGAGAAACATCAATGTTGACAACATGGCATCAAAACCAGGGACATTTCATGGAATGGTGAAACCAAGACATTGTAATGTTCTCTAAGTTGTCATTCCAGTCAGCTATATGACAGAGGATACTGTAAATAAAAAAAGAATTTATGATAGAGTACGGAGGATGAGTTTAGGAATCTTACAACCTGGGAACCTATTTTAGGTTATTTGAGGCCAACTCGGAGGTTAGCGTCGCCCTGGTTCCCATGACAAAAAGCCAATGGGATTTTTCCATTGGCTTTTGAATTATTGCAAAAAATATACAAATGTTTTTGATACTTACACGTTTTGTCCAGCAAGACAATCTCCACCCCTTTTACCATTTTAGAAGCGTAAATGCAATCACAAGAAGCAAAAAGCTAATGGTAGGCTCTGAATGAACTACACCACTAACTGGGGTATATACTGATGTATTTTTATTTTATTATTTTATTATAAACAAAAAGTGAAAATCGTGAAACAGACTCTATTTCAGGCATCTCACCAAAAACCCATTCAAAAAAATGATTGACTTAGAGATGAGGGAAGTGGAAGTGCTCTGTGCAGGCACCTCACCTCACCAATAGTGATGCTTGGTGGATGGGTACCAATGATGTTCTGGGTGGTGTAATGCTACATTTCTACTTAGTATATATTTCTACTTAGTATATATTTCTACTTAGTATATTGTGTAAATGCTTAAGTGCTTGTACTTGTGCTCTGAACTCGGTTGAACTTCACTGTGTTAGCGTACATGCCCAGATTTATCTTTCTTATTGTTGCAAAAGAAGAATTCATCCTTGCCTGCACGCAAAGACAACTGTATGTTGTATGAGAGTGTTCCAGCGCCAAGGCCGTCTGGCCGCTTGATTTGGTTGCTGACCGTTTGGTTTTCATTGTTGGTTCTAGCAGTCTGAGACCAGAATGTCTGTAACATCGGCCCCCACCTTTGCTCCTTCTGTATAAAGAAAGCGTGTTTACTTTACACTTGCTTCTTCCTCATTGAGACTGTACGCATTCTGTTGTGATGATTGAACCTTCTGTGCAGAGAATACATCAACCCTAACCCTAACCCTAATCAAACTCAAAAGACAACATCTGGTTTTGGGTATTCTTTATTTCAGCATTAAAAGACTCACGCAAAGCGGGAATAGGATTTTTCCACCACAGTGGTTTTAAGCATCCTGCCTGGGCCGTGCACATCCCGTGCCATTTTGTAGTGTTTCCAGTCAGGATGCTTTCAATTGCTCCTCTGTAAAAGTTAACAAAAAATTGGCACAGGAATTTTGCTTTCTCAAGTTTCCTGAAGAAATACCAATGTTTCTGAGCTTTTTTTCTACCAGGGTGGAGTTGTGTGATGAACATGTCAGGTTGTTTCTGATCTCTGATTCCCAGGAACTTAAAACTGATCACTTGCTGCACCTCGGCTCCATTTATGTAGACATGGGTGTGTGTCTTCACCTCCTTTTTTCTAAAAGCATCAATCAGCTCTTTAGTTTTGCTAATGTTGAGCAGCAGGTTGTTCCCTGAGTACTACTTTGCAAGTTTGTTGATTTCCTCCTGATAAGAAGTCTCACCATTGTTTGTAATCCGCCCGATGGAGGAGGTGTCGTCCACAAACTTTACAACAGAGTCCTCTCCATGTCGGGGATTGCAGTCGTGGGTCTACAAAGTGAACAGGGGGGGCTGAGCACAAAGCCCTGTGGGGCTCCAATGATCAACACTAGAACTGATGAGGTGTGACCGCCAATCCGAACTAACTGGGATCTGTTTGTGAGGAAGTTCTAATTTGCAGTTTCATGGAGAAGATGAAAACCGCAAACTAGACTACTGTGATATAGGTGTTGTTTTTTTAAGTGAACACAGCAGACTTTTTGGGTACAGGAACGATGGTGGCTGTCTTGAAACAGGTGGGATCACTGTGACCGTGATAGGTTAAAGATGTCAGCGATGACATTAGTTAGCTGGTTGGGACATGTTCTTAGTGCACGACCGGGACGTTATCAGGCCCAGCAGCTTTACTCGTGTTCACTCTCAACGGGGTTGTTGTGGATATTGACAGTGGCTGGTCCTCTGGAAGTGGGGCAGACTTAACAACTGGCTCTTTATTGAGGTATATATCGAGGTGAGCATAAAAGATGCTGTTGGAGTTAGGATCTCTCTTTTCGGTCTCTCCTGATGTCTCCACTTTGCCTCCTTAATGCCAGCTTTCAGTCTTGCTCTGGCGATGCTGTATGCTTCCTTGTCACCTGACCGTAAGGCAGCTTTTTTCTCTTTGGATAGGGCTCTCAGCTCTCCATTCATCCAGGCTGATTTGCTGATGTATGATGTTACTGTTGACCTCATTCAATTCTTGTAGTGCCTTTTTTTTTGTCTCAGGAGGAATGTAAACAGCTGCAACAAAAACCCTGGTGAATTCTCTGGGCAGTTAATAAGTGCTGCAACAAATCATTATTAGCTACAGTTTGTGTTGCATGATTTACAAACTTGACAACGTAAACATTCTAAATGGATATTTTATTCCTGTTCACTGACTTAATTTCTTTACTTTATTTATCTTATTTGTTGTCTTGACTCTTGACTGTGGTGATTTTTCTCTTTAATTATTTCAAACGATAATAAACATAAAACAGTATTTCCTGTTGCAATGTTTGTTTATGCAGTTGCTGACAGGAAGTAAACCTGGAACAAACAGAATGGCAATGAGAAGGACTATAGGTTGCTACGACTACAGGTGAATGATGCTGTGTAGATGAACAATTTTCAGTCCAATATTGGTATTCATATTCCACTTATTCAACGTGATACATGTCTTGCTTGCTTCAATTTCCCGGTTCGTTAACCGGTCTCCTATAAAGACTCACGGTTGACTGATGACGTTACTTTGGCAAATAATTAGGTTAACAACAAAATAACACATTGTAACTACTTTTCCGATGAGTGCCTTTTGTTAAAATTGTATGATAAAAATGACATCACTGGATGCTGCCATTGGATTGCAACAAACAAAAACACATGCCAGACGCTGTGAGTCATAACAGTGGTGAGTGTGTGTCACTCCATAACGAGCATGTGCTCGACCAATAGATGCGCCATGTCGGTTTGTTTAAGACCAATGAGAATGATCGGGAGGCGGGATTTGTGTAGAAAAGGGCGGAGTTGATAACCGAACCTCTGGAGTTCTTCTGCTGGCCAACTTCTCCTCCCCATTCATCTTTTTTTTTTTTTTTTTACCCACGCGCTGGAGGAGAGCTGTCGGAAAGGTAAGTCAGGAAGCAAGTAGCCTCGTGTCTCACCAGATTAGATAAGTGTCTCTTTATGTGATTGGTATGTAACTGTATCACAATTTATTATGACAATTTCTAACTTTTGCCACGATATTTAAAGTGATGCTGTGTTTGTTAGCAACATGAGGCGGTTAACTTAGCTAGTGTATCAACGTACGATATGAAGCTCATGCTAGTGCCTTATATTTTCTTACTCACTGTATTCACCATGCGCTCGGTTTTAAACCCAGTTTAGTTAACGCCGTGTTCGTACTGTTCGCCTAACTAGCTAGCACGCGGAGTACAGTACAGAGTAGTGTGGTGGCGCGTGGATAACCGGAACTAGTGCGTGACAGCCCGCCTTTCTGGGGCGTCCATAATGGCGAGACCGTTAACGTTCACTGGGGTAAATGGAGCAGATCAAAAACAAAGCGAAATTGTCTTTACATTTAGTTTATTTTGCGTTATCCATTCTTCATTTTAAAGAAAAACAATCTCCAAAACAGCAGCCGTTACCTCGCGCACATGGGCACTTGATAGTTACCGACATGACAAAAGCATCTTTGGTTGTTTCTTATACACTTAGCTTTTTGAATGGTTTGGGTGTAACGTTAGCGGATAGGCAAACCACTTCAAAAATCTTAAGTTATTAAAAGTGTGAAACAGCAGAGCTACCATCATCACAGAAGGTTAGTCCAAAACGAGAGAAGGAAAATGTTCCATCTGGAAGTTAAATAACTTTTAAGATTCTGACCTGTAGAGGCAATTTGTGTAGTTTTACACTCTATCAACATTTTCCCATAGACATGCTCTTCATTTTTGATGTCACTCAGGTCACTGCTGCCCATCTGACTGATGTTGATTTCCTTACAGAGGCTGTAGGAGCGTAATGAAACATGAGGCGAGAAATCGCAGCTGTGGTGTTCTTCCTGAAGAGGCTTGTGAAAAAGGGGGGGAAGTTGGAGTCGCACAAGATCGATCTGTTTGTAGAGAGGCTGGCTGTTGCACTGCAGGAGAAGTTCAAGGGACACTGGTACCCTGAAAACCCCAGCAAAGGACAGGCGTACAGGTGCTGCTAACCACTATTCACAACACAGCTTTCTTTAATGAATGTCTTCCCATTGGTGTGTACAGACTACATGTGGCTCTTTTTTACAAACTGAAACCGGTGTTGTGTGCTCTGCAGGTGCATCCGAATGAACAGGCTCCACAGGCAGGATCCAGAGCTCCTTCGGGCCTGCCGAGAGAGCGGGGTTCAGTTCTGTGACCTGAGACTGTCCTGTGAATTCACTTTGTGGGTGGACCCTGGTGAGGTCAGCTGCAGGTGAGACTTGGAGTGAATTTGCCGCGAAGAGCTGAGACGAAAGAATACGTTTGTAGTTCAACTAAAACAACTGGTTTTAGCATTCATACCTTTTTTAGTGGTGTAAATATTTAAAACAGTGTTGTAGTAGAAAAAGCAACCTGTATATTGTTGTTAGAATAATTCCGTTTTTTTGTTTTACTGCTGCAGCCATTAATGCACATTTAGCTTAGAACATGAACAAAATAACACCGCACTAATTGCGGCTGTAATATGTGGCAAAAAAAAAAAATCCTTTTATTTAATTTTTCTCCCAACCCAACTTTTCAAGAATTGCCAAGTTTTAAACAGAGTCCCTTCTAAGTCTGTTTATCCTCCTATAACTATTGATGTTTTCCCTCCCTGTATCACTGTTAATAATCAGGTACGGAGAGGACAATCCCTGCTTCTCAGTTGCCAGCTTCTCTAGCGATGATGAGGTTGACACAGATGTTGCAAAGGTGACCAGTGCTTTGGAGAGAGTGACGTCAGACTACCACTCAGGTTCTTCCTCGGATGAGGAAAGCACGCACGCTTCCCCTCTCACTGTCTTCAACGGCCGCCGTGCTTACCAGGTATTGCGTAATACATTTTAGAATTATTCCCATGAATAAATATCCCATGCAGGTCTGGAAAATGATGGCAAGTTTCTCCATAATAACCAGGATTTGGTGAACCGCAAAGTTGGTTGCAATATTGTTTTTTTGAGCAGTTGGATGACATCTTTTATTTATTTGTTTTCCTTTTTCTTTTTTTTTTAAGGCGGTGAATCCCGCTGCTCCTATGTGGCATCCTAACAAGATGGTACCCGGGAACGCTCACATCCCTCCACGGCCGCACTACAGCTTCATGCCTCGCGGCAGAGCCCCCCCCCACGTTCAGGCCTAGCCTGTGGTTTCCTCCTGGCTATAGAGAAAGGCCTGCTCGGTTCTGGGACACAACCCAAAATAGTTACAGATAGGAACCGTGGTGCTTGTTGTTCCCACTAGACATTAAAGCTGAAGAGAACTTTAAAATGGCTGAACAATGTTCTTTTTTAAAAACATGAATTTTTATAGATTACATAATAGTTTTTTGACAAAAAAGTCCTTTTGCACTTTAGACCATTTGTTATACTTTAAATGAATCACTTGTATTTAATTAGATATTGGAATACTCATGTTGATGTACTGTATTTTTACATTGGGAGATGTTCATGTATGTCACATACTTTGTCCTTTTGTGGTCAAATGTTTTATTTATTCATAATAGCAGTGCAGAATTGTCAAATGTATAGACTTAAATTAAGGGAGTTTTATTAAACACATTTTCTAAGCATCATGGTGTATTATGTTGTGTATATTGTATTATTTTGGTGTTTACAAAAGGATCCTCCAAGTGTTGTGGTTAAAGTGTAAAACTGCTGTTTTTTTTTTTTTTACTGTTGGTCTTTTAGCATGTGCCTTTATTTGCTAGCTGACAGTGTAGAGGAGAGTAACATGTAAATAAGGTCCCTGGCTGGAATCAAACTGGGGACATTACGGTTATGTGTTCTGCTCAGCAGGACGCTTGCATACATTAAGTGGTAATGTTAAGCTCAAAGGGTCGGTTCACCCAAATCAGTGTTCAAACATAATCTTAACATGCTTTGAGCAGCAACACAGATTAAATTCCATTCTCATCTGCTGCACTGTGTGGTGGCAGAGATCTTGTTGAATAAAACCAAAACTATATTTGTGGTTAGATATCACAAGGGGTAAGTGAGTATTTCTGTGATTACTTTCAATCCTTAAATGTACTCAACACACTATAATACTCGCAGCTCCTTTGCTGGGCAGTAAATGATAACTATGAATCATTTAAATGTCATTAATCTGCCACAAGCGGGACTGAATAATGTGAGAGCTGGATATGTATGTTCAACACTTTTGGACATGTAGCTCAACATATAGGTTTGTTATTGATTTGTGATTTAATTAAAAGTACATGCATATAAATGTGAATACAAATGGATTAAACACATGTTTTACAACACAAAAATTCAAAATTTAACCTTTTTGAAATATAGCACCATCTCTTCTCATGCTCTTAGAAATGGAACATAAAATAAGCCATGGTTAGAGGCTTCAGTATTTGCCACTATAATAACGACTCTCAAGAGGATCAGGTCGTGGCCATTTGTGAAAGAAATGGAGTAAGAACAGCTTGAGAAACCTCTTTGAGGGCTGGTGGTGAGGAAAGACATCCAGAAAGTTATAGAAACGCAGGCAAACACGGGCTCCTCTCCACCATTAACAGAAAGTGGGACAGCTCCTTGTTCTTTCCGGCAGGGGGCAACACTGGATCTACTTTGGGACCACTGTGTGTCACGTGACAGCCTGCGGCGCGCTCGCTCCGCTGTGCACCTGCAGAGAGGAGGAGGAGGAGAAGGAGGAGTGGAGTTTGGATGCTTCGGTCGAGCCCGGACTGCCGCTTTTTCACTCGAACTCAGCACAAGTTCTCCGAGCAAGTTTCGCTGAAGAAGTCGTGGAATGTCTGGAAGAGGAATGGAGCTTTGGACTGGCCGGTTCTGCTGCGTACTGTTGAGCCTCTTTGCAGGTAAGTTTTATGACACCCGACTGACGGTGAGCTACTTTGATTATAAGGTTTTTTTTCCACCAAAACGACAGCGAGTACAATCTCCGGCCAGCCATGTAGCGTTGCTCTCACGTTATCCGCGTTCACACGGACACTCGCACGGTTTAATAAGTTGAACATGCTGAAAAACGTTCGGGTTTGTAGTGTTAGTTAATTCATGTTACCTCCAGTTGCTCTTGGTTAACATTTATTAACCGGCGCAGTGGTTAAACTAACCGCGTCTGAAAACACTTAAAGGAATTTGCTCCGAGTAACTCCGACCCCAGGTCAGTTTAATTCGCTAGCACACCAGAGCAGGCGTCCGGCTACAACCAATATAAAATGTAAACAGTTTAACTAACGTACATCTACTTTAGGTAATTACCAGGTAAACCATCCTAGGTGGGTCACTAGTTATACTGAACCAATAGTTATTTAAATATACCGCGGTGTGTTTGAAGTTCCCACAGAATATTGATGGTGGATGCTTTTTTATGGATGTTTCCGTGTGCTGTCTTTTGGTTTTATCGTCTGGTGGTTAACACGATGGCTTGATCCGCTCTTAAAAACCTGTGGCTACAGGACTTCAAAGTGCTGCGGCCTTTTCGTCCGCCATCTGCCACCAGTGCTGACCCCCCCCCCCCCAATCCCAGGCTATCACATGTAACTTAACCACATGTTTACTCCTGATAGACAGCTTTGTTTATGTTGGTGTCCTCTCCTTATTTAAACCTTTCAATGACAAGACCCGCCATTGTTGAGAGTTTAGTCCTAGTGACCCTCACCTAAGAGGCTCTGTGGTTGTTTGTTGACAGTGTAGGTGGGTAGATACCAGTGGGGGCTGTGACACCTGTTATAGAGCCATGTGATGTATATTTTGGGAAGCATCAGTCAGTCATAATGCAGTTGACGGATCATAATTTCTTATGTGGATCAGGACAAGACAGGTCAAATATTCAAGTATTTATCTACGTTTTTGAAACCTGGTGGTTTGCTCTGTTAGTGTGTCATTGGGGCGTTAAATGTAGAAACATTACTAGCATGGGTTATTTACTCATCAAAACTATAGTTATTCATTGTAAAGTCAGATGAGTTTATATTTACTATGTTTGCTCTGTTAATTGTATCATGACTTCATTTTATGGGTGGGGCTTCCCCTGGAATTTACACTGAAACTGGCAGATCGCTCCTCCCACTCCAAACAACAGTGTGAAACTTTTGCTACAGGATTGTGTGGTGGCTTCCATCAGTGACATGCCACTGCAGTTATTAAAAATATGTTTGGGATTGTGATGGAGAGCCACGGTCAGGGCAGTGACATTCCAGTCTGCTGATTAGTGAGAAACTCTCCATGTAAAAGCTGGGGCATTAGTGTATAGTGTGTTGTTTAGCCTTCTTTTGTCTCGTGATTCACATTGCTTTGTACACTGGTTTGGGCTCATTACCATCTTAATGGCATTATGGCCTCGTCATTTGGGCGCTGTTCCACTTCAGCAGACAAGAACAGTATCCGCTAGACTCGTAGCATTCTTTTAGCATGGGCTTCGTAATACACAATAATATGCTAACCTCTCTTAAATGGCACAATAACAAATAGCCTTCCTGCTCCATTTTCCTTGCTGTGTTTGTCCTCGAGGCACCGCATGGACTATGCAATGTTGACAAAATAAGTTTTAAAAGGGAGATCCTGAAATCCTTGTAAGTTGTGGTCAATCTGTAAAAGCGCAGACAGTACTCATAAAGCCTTCACATTACAAGTCAAGTTAACTAAACAATAGGATGCAAGGAAAGGAGAAGGCTTTCTGTGAATGATTGTACACAGTTTAGTTGTGAAGTGCTTCTTTCGTGGGGCCAACTTTTTACATTCTTTGTGGTGGTGATTTTTATTTTTTTTTTCATATGATAATGTTATCAGAGACCAACTGCTGTGGTGATGGCTTTTACTCTGAAAAATCACATCAGCATGAAAAAACCCTGCTCCATGCACATGACAGTAGCTCTGCTTATGGCATTTTCAACATATTTCCAAAGTTGTTCCCCTTTATTGAAGGACACCTCTTGATTTAGTCTGTATATGTTTGAGTCCTTGCGTAGGACCAGAACAGTCATTTCCCCTGCTTCACTGATGCAGGACTTACCCTGTGGCCCCCCTCCACTACCTGGCTGTCTGAGTCAAGAGGGAAGCCACTGACCAGGTTAAACAGAAACCGAGTGAGCCTGCGAGCAGGCGCAGAGCGCAGTTACCTGATAAGCCCTCTACCAAAGGCCCTGGCCAGGAACTGGTTGCTTGGTTACCTATTTGAAAACAGACACGCAGATCCAGGGAGTGTGTGTGTGTGTGTGTGTGTGTGCGCGTGTGTCTGTCTGTGTGTGTGTGCGCTCCAGTTGCTTTCCAAAACTCCCCTCGCTTGCATGTATATGTATTAGGTCCTCTTTAACAGCAGAAATAAAATCCCTGTTATTTTTCCACAAACCATTGACGATGTTTTAAATATCTTGACACAACAGCGATAATCCTTTTATGGACAACAACTATTACAGCTGTGTGTGTATTTCTAAGGTGTTTTGGGCTCGTGAAGAAATACTTCCAACCAGAAAGATGGGTGGCGGCGTGTCCACCACAGCCTCAGCCATTATCATTGGCCCCACGCACACAGTAATGACTTGAGGTCACATTCACTTGTCATGACCCAGCGGTCCGCTGCTCACCTCCTGTCGGCTGAAACGTGTTGCAGCTTCGCCTCCGAGCAAGAAAGTCGCCCTCTCTGGCCGAAAGCCCCCTGTCCTTGGAAAAAGGAAGCAGGAACATGTAGAATCGGATTACACTCCGGGGACACTGCTTTGTCCTCCATGATCTGATGATGGGGACGGCCGCGCATGAATATTCACAGCCCCGGACGTTAATATTTTAGCATGCCAGTGCTGCACTAGCCCTGTGCCAACTCCTATTCACCTATACGACAGTGTGAAACGCTGATCCCACCTCTACCTCGCCACATTACCCAACCTCTTCTTCTACACTCCTCCATTCCTAATCTGGTTTTCTGAAGGAACAAATTGCTGCCTGCTAGAGAATGAGCTAAAATGATTAATAGTGGTGCTAGTCCTGTTAATGGCTGTGCAGCCACTCTGTATTCAGAGCTCATTCTCTTTTTCACAGTTAGAGACTAAAACCGCCTTCATGGCAGCTGCCAGCGCATTCTTGTGGGAAGATATATTGGCAAGATTACACGTGAACCCCGTGGTCAAAAAGTCAATGTTACATCGACAGATATTTCATGTTTGTATGTCTTGTAACTTCTCTAACACTCTGGCCACAGTATTGGCTTACTGACAACACCCAGGTCACCAGAGGCATGCAAGTAATGTGCTCCATTTTCCAATCAGCGTAGCTCTGGAGAAGTTTTACCTCAATGACACAAGAGTGGCTGATCGATTCTCAAGGGTTGCGCTTTAGCTCATCTGTTGGACTAGGGGACCTCGATATATTGGCCAGCTTGATCAATTTGAGTTTCTTTCTTTTTTTTCTTTTTTTTTTGTCCAATCATCTGTCCAAAACTCAAAGGTCCTCAATTTACGATAACTTGAAAGCCGAGGAAAGCAACACATTCGCTCATTTGAGAAGATGAAACCAGCAGTTTAGATTGTTTTTTTGATAACTGATTTAGCAACAGGCAGCGTTTTAGTTTACAACATTCAGATAATGAGCGAACATCAACAGAATGTGAGGAGGTTACAGCGATGACGTCAAAGACTATGTATCGTGTTACAGTGATATCTATTGAAATGAGCATGCTAACCAGCTAGCCCCGACTCGTCCTGTCTTGTAACACCACTTGTACCTTGAGAGGTGGTAGTGAGACACTGTAGCATCCAGTCTGTCCCAGAGGTGAGGCCACAGGGTCCGCGTACGTTTTGACGGATGGTTTATTGGATTCAATCTAAAATGGCAGAAACAATGAAACGGTCTTGTGTTAGTGTCGCAGTAAACACACGTGAAAAAAAGTTAGCTAGAAACGTTAAAAGGTCAGACGTCATTCTCAACCAACTCCTGTTGTCAGCGTTGGCATAATTAATCGGCAGTCGCCGGTACAATTTTGAATAATAAATGTGTTTGTAATTCTCATAGCACACGTTGGAGAGAGACTGTGCTGAGCGAGAGACATTTCCTCTGCTATCCATGTAACCTATCGGTTAAAACAAGGTCACTGCAGTGCTGATCCCCCCCCCCCCTCAAATCGGTCATCATCGCTGTGTCACGCCGTTGGGACGATAAACCCGCCCAAAGCACATTCATCACGTAGCAACTTGATGCCCTGCTCTGCAGCGCCCACAACGCCCGCTGCTCCTAATGAGGAATAATGGGCCCTGTGACCAATAAGCTGTTCCCCGCTATGATAATAAGGGTTTTTCATGTACCTCATATCTCAACTGAACATCGGCAGAATACGTTTTTCCTGGAGATAAACCGCAGAGAAGATGCTGCACACCAGGCAGTGAGGGAGGTTTAAATGCTGTATGATTATTTGGAAAAAGTTCCGCAGCAATTCATTCAACTTTCAAAATGAAGCAGGGTGCTGTACTTTACACAAGACTTAGAACTGTGATAAGATAAATGTTTGGCGTCCATTCTTTCATGGTAATGGAAGTGTTTTCAAGTGGTGGATGTCTCTGGATTTAACACTACTATTTATTTAGCTTCTTAAACGGAGGGAATGTCTTATTTACCCTGATGCATGGCATTAGAACACATTCCTGAGCCAGCATCCAGATCTACGAAGCATTGCTCTACTTCTGGTTCTTCGCCTTGTGACTGTGTATTCTGGTGCTTTTTGCATAATGTGCTCACGGCGTCTGAGCGAGGAAACGCGGTGTGGCAGGCAGATCCCCGGGGTGCTGCATCTGCAGGTGCTGGTGCGCGGTCCGCTCCTGCTTACCTGCTAGGGAGGTGTCAGCTCAGCTCTACACATGCTCGAACCTCC